GTCCGTCAGCATGGGGTTTTGAGTGAGATGAGCAGATGAGCAGAGAAGAAGAAGAGATAACTACCTCTACAAGTACCCGCACCCCTGGCCGCCGGGGGTTGGATCAATGGAAGAAAATCCCCGAGCTACTGTGGGGAAAGGGCAGGCATGCGACTTCTGAACTGCCTCGCTCGGCCAAGCAAAAGGACGCGGCTCTCGATCTTCGTTCGATGTTCGGGCCCGCATGCAGCAGATCACTTGCAGGTCACTTGCTGCCCGTCATTTTGTTCCTTTAAAACTCATGGTCCAACTCTATCATGCCGACAAGCTGGGCACTGCATCTGACGCTGCCAAGTTGCAACCTGCCTGAGTATCTGAGGTTGCCGGACTGAGCCGGGAAATGCTGGTGCCCAGGTCGGGTCGACCGGGTCCCCGCATGCTCTCGGCGTTCGCTCTCCGGTAGACTCGGCTTGGGCGAAACAGCCAGGCATGGACGTACGCTGCAGAGGCAGAGGAAGAGGGTAGCTTACGTATGGTAGGTACCAAAGGCAATAAATCTTCAACAGCCCAGCGAAGCACAGCATGATTCCCAAAAGACAGGACATCCATGTGCAACTTGAAACCTCGGGCTCGCCTTTCTCTCGCCCACGCTTTTTCCAATGGAGAAAGGAGTGGAGGCGTTAGCTCGGTCCGGCACAGCTGAATATGCCCACACTTTGCTGCACCTCCTCTGAAAAAGGCCTCCCCACCTGAGCAGCCTGGAAAGTGGGCGTGGTCAGGTACTCCGTAATGCATCTTTCAAAGTGGTGGTGTCTGGCATCTGTTGGTTCTGACAGGTGCTTGGAACGTTTTTGACACATGCCTGCTGCCATGACCGCCATATGCCTGTTGGAATGGAAAAGGCGGCAGAAGATGGGGTCTGGGAGAGCCTTGGGAAGGGAGGGAAAGCGAGCCTCAAACTGGAACCCTTGACAAATAACAACCCATTGTGCTGCCCACTTCAGCTTCCCACACCTGTAGACTGATGGGCCTTCAATGACACTGCAGATACGGGCATGCCACTCATATGTTTCCTCCCGTCAAAAGCACAAGAAGGCGCCAACGCAAGCCCACGCGCCACCCGATGCCCCAAGCCGCGGCGGGGGCGAGGGCGAGGGCGAGGGCGAGGGCGAGGGCGGTGACCAGAACCCTCCCAACGTATTCCCAAGACGAAGCTAGAAATCAATAAGGCCACCAACGCACAAGGCGGCTGAAGACATGGGAGCTTGGTGATCATCGCTCGCTCGCAAATACAAGGGTCCTTACGACGCCCCATTGGTGTGTTGGTGTTGGGCTTCGAGACGGGCTGTATTACCCCTCCTCCTGAAGCTGCTGATGCTCCTGCTAGACCAAAGCCAGTCTGCCGGAAGCCTATACTGTACATGGCGGAACAAGCATGGTCCCTGTCGCCCTCCTCTTGTATGGTGGGGGGTTCAGGCTGGATGAGCTCTGCGGCTTGCCCGAGAGGAGCTCATGGATGAGGAGGGGAGCTGGATGGGAAGCCACAATGGCGCGACATGACATTACAAGTACAAGAAAAAAACACCGCAGAGTTATGTTTCCGTTTGATGGATCTTGCAGGGGTAAAAGGGCCAAAGAAAAGAAAAAACAGAGTGCGATTACGAGCCGCCTGTCTAGGACATGGGCCAACAAATGCCTAAACTGTCACGACTGTGTGATTACCTTGGTGTTCCAAGGTACGTAAGGTTGTTTTTGGCTCCTGAGCGGTCCCCCGGATTTGTTCTAGGCCCCGGTGCGAGCCCAACCGTGAGGTTTGGTGCCGCCCGCCATGACCTCTCTTGGGTCACATTCTCCCAAAGTTATCAAGAAAAACGAAGCACGGTCGTCGGCGGAATTGCTTTCCAAAGATCTACCCGTCGCCACCCGGGAGGTGGGCATGAAAACGAGAAAGGAGCGAAAACTATGACGCCGAGGTGGAACAAGCGATGCTACACTCTCTCAATGAGCCCGGACCGGTAGGACGGGTTTTGTGACGAGTGACTGAGTGACGACCTGCCATGCGCTCGGGGAAAAAGGGGGCAGTAACAATAAAAGCACCAACATGTTACTGCATACAATAAAAGAGCGATATATCTGATCCTTGGTCTTAAGATAGCAACTGGGCGGCGGCTTCCCGGTAGCACAGCAGCGACGCCCTGTCTTTGAGGATTCTCAGCGGTAGGTCGGCAGGTCTGAGACCGGTCGTTTCGTCGACTCAGAGCCCGGTCCTGGCTCTCCATTGGCACCATCGGTTTCTCTTTTGCCCTTGTGCATGATCCCGACCATGTTCGGCTCAGCAACTTCTTTTGGCAAACGGGTAAGTGCATGAGGGCAGGCCAGGGTACCCAGGCCCATCTGACGGAGTTAGATGTTCCTCTTTCAGCCACCTGCTGTCACGCAGGGGAGCTCTGCGAAGAGAGAGAGTCGAAACGACATAATGAGGGGTTCAGGAGAATCGCTACGAAGCAGGTAAAGACAGAAGATCCGTCGGGGATGACGTGAGCCCTTGGCGATGGTCCCTCGCACTATCAACGTCCTTAGTCCTCAAGACGTCCCGAGTCGAGTGATGGGGGGCGGGAAAGAGGACCCTTTAGCCGCACCGACGATCGTCTGTGTGGCCGGATAGGGTAACAAGGTGTTCGAAGAAGGTTCAAGCTACCACAAGCCTTGTCAATCAGTGAGCTGGCCGGTCTCAGGAGATCCTGGCAGGTGTGGTTGTGAGTTTCGTGGCGAGGATATCATCACGGCCATGAAGGAATGCCACACCGTTGGCGGCTGAGGCTCCCCGGACAACAAGTGTAATCGGGGGCCCTCTCACCAAGAGGTCACGATGACGGTGTTTTGTTGTAATTGCGGTGCAATTGTGCATATCTGCCTGGAGTCGTTGCAGGTGCTGGTGGAGATCATTGGATCCCTGGATGGCCGTATCGGCGCCGGCCTAGTTGGTGGGCGGCCGCATCTGCTGGGATCCATGGCTCACCAGGGCTGATCGCCATCGAGATGGTGAGGGGCCTTGGGGAGAAATGATGCTGGCCCATCTGCAACAGAGCAAGCTAGAGACCCAAGTGTTGGTTTGTTTCGGAGGTTTAAACACGAAAGCCATGTCGCTGGCGATTGGATCCATGGATCCTTTTCTTGGGTCTGCATTAATTGGGCCAGGCCTTTGGCACGCGACCATTGGCTGGACACGCGACACGGGATCCCTGCTCGACGCGCTTTTTCTTCCCACACGCTTCTAGACTGCTTTTTTGGACGCGGCTCATATCGCGTCACTGTTGCTGATCAGCCAGCTAGTGTCGACCAGTCAGATCGATGGACAGAGACGGCCGAGCACAAATTTGCTAAATACATGTACCGGCGTAATCCTTGGTTTGAAAAAGCCACATGAAGCCACTTTCGGCAGCGCCCCCCCCAATGAGTCCCATTTGTGGGAATTGTGAAAGTGCTTCTGGGTGTTGTTGGCTTGCTTTAATCGCTCATTCGGCAACGATGTGCAATTGTGCACAAATATCTTCGTATTCGGGGAGAGGAGAGCGGCAAGAGACAGGGAGCAGGCAGGTAGGCAGGCAGGCAGACCGTGCCAGACCAACGATGACCACTTGCCTACCATCTACCTACCGAGGTAGCCACTTGGGTGAGTAAGGTAGATGGCCAGACATGCACATGTTTCATCAATGCCCTCGCATTGCGGCATTGCGGGGAATAGTGCAAATGCGCGCGTGCCGGGACTTGGGGAAGAGGCGGCACGGGAAACGGTGCAACAGTCGGTTGTAGCATCTTTGATGCTACTGCGACAGTGCGTATGCCATGCTAGGGCTTTGCTGACTACCTAGGTAGGTATTTGGCAGTTTGCTCGAGCACAACAAACAAAGCAGCCCTAGCATGAATGTTGCATAATTGAGTCACCGACCACACCAGGCAAGCAACACGCGAGCTCGCTTGTCGCTGCCGGCAAGCAAAAGGCTGTTTGAGTGTCGGGGAGTGAGTGCTGAACCGAGACCCCAAACTTTGGAACCGCATCCATCTGGGCCAGAGTAAATAAATGATGAAATGAAGGTCGGCGATAGAACGCGCAGGTTGGTGCAGTGCAGCAGCAGCAGGGGACGCAAAAATAGGGCAGATTTTCGTTCATTCGCCAATCATAGCCCCGCCTCTGCGGCTAAATTGGAGTTCAAGATTGAGTGTTGTAGCGGGCCTAGGTATCCATAGATGTCGTTATGTAATTCTGCTGTGCTGGCTGTGCGCGGGGCCCCACCACCACCACCAAATTCCGTAAACACCGACTCACCGGTACAACGCCAAAAAAAAAAAAAGTCCGCCTTATCAAATTGGATCGTGCGTACAGTAGATAGGTACAACGGGATTGCAGCGGGAAGAGCCTGGCCATCACCCTGGCCATCGAGTAAGCAGTGGCGCATATTGTGCGTTTCACAATCCCTCCAATCTCAATCTCCTCCTGCCACACGCGCAGATCCTTGCTGTGAAGTGAAGCACCCGCCCACCACAGCTCACTCAGGCCCGGCTCCGGAGAGCCAGACTACCCACACCCACCGTCGCCGTCCCGGCTATCAACCTCCGTACCGCCGGCCCATCATGGAGACCGACATCAGGTCCATCCTCCCCAACATCGACCCGGTGGTCTCCGAGTACTCGGTCGGCTACCTGACCCATGCCTCCACCGCATGGACCGGCGAGGAGGAGGCACAGGCCCTCTCGCCTCTGACCGAGGCCGCCGAGACCGTGACCGAGATCCTGCTCTCCGCCTCGGGCGACCCGGACGCCGCCCTGCAGGACAAGGTCCGGCTGCTCGTCGAGAAATGGGTCGACAAGTACGCCCAGGCCAACGGCGCCAGCGAGGAGCGCCGCGCCCCGGCCATCCGCCGCCTCGACCAGACCATCCAGGTCAGCGCCCAGCGCAACATGTCGTCCACCCTCGCCGTCGCCACCGGCGGCGTCGACCTCGAGTCCGCCAACGCCCGCAAGGTCGAGTCCAAGGTCGACCGCAAGAAGCTCGAGAAGGCCGAGCGCAAGATCGCCGCCAAGCAGAGCAAGAAGCAGTTCAAGACGGTCGAGTACGAGGCCTCGCGCCTGCTCAACCAGCCAGAGTCCACCCAGTCCTACGAGGAGTTCTACATGGCCGTCAACCCGCTGCAGCTCGGCAGCAGCTCCGGCCAGGGCAAGACCAAGGACATCAAGCTCGACAATATCGACGTCTCCATCGGCGGCCAGCGCATCCTCACCGACACCACCTTCACCCTCGCCTACGGCCACCGCTACGGCCTGGTCGGTAACAACGGTGTGGGTAAATCCACGCTGCTGCGTGCTCTGTCTCGTCGTGACCTCGCTATTCCTACGCACATCTCCATTCTCCACGTCGAGCAAGAGGCAAGTACAATCGTTATAAAGAAAGAAGAAGAAGCATTGCTAACAAAAACGCCTCTCAGATCACGGGAGATGACACCCCAGCGCTGCAGGCCGTTCTTGATGCCGACGTCTGGCGCAAATATCTCATCAAAGAGCAAGCCGTACGTATCAACTCAGCTTTCCAAACATAGGATGGAGGCATGGTCACTGACACGACAAAATAGGAAATCACAGAGAAGCTCGCCGCCATCGAGGCTCAGCGCAGCTCCATGGCCGACACCTCGGCCGACGCGGCGCGGCTCGACCGCGACCGCGAGGCCCAGGACAACCGCCTCGGCGACATCCAGGCCAAGCTGGCCGAGATGGAGTCGGACAAGGCCGAGTCGCGCGCCGCCAGCATCCTCGCCGGCCTGGGCTTCTCGGCCGAGCGCCAGCAGTACGCCACCAAGACCTTCTCCGGAGGTTGGCGCATGCGCCTCGCCCTCGCGCGCGCCCTCTTCTGCGAGCCCGACCTGCTGCTGCTCGACGAGCCGTCCAACATGTTGGACGTGCCGTCCATCACCTTCCTGTCCAACTACCTGCAGGGCTACCCGTCGACCGTGCTCGTCGTCTCCCACGACAGGGCCTTCCTCAACGAGGTGGCGACCGACATCATCCACCAGCACTCGCAGCGCCTCGACTACTACCGCGGCGCCAACTTTGAGTCCTTCTACGCGACCAAGGAGGAGCGCAAGAAGACGGCCAAGCGCGAGTACGAGAACCAGATGGCCCAGCGCGCCCACCTGCAGGCCTTCATCGACAAGTTCCGCTACAACGCGGCCAAGTCGTCCGAGGCGCAGTCGCGCATCAAGAAGCTCGAGCGCATGCCCGTGCTCGAGCCGCCCGAGGCCGAGTACAGCGTCAAGTTCAAGTTCCCCGACGTCGAGAAGCTCTCGCCGCCCATCGTGCAGATGTCCGAGGTCACGTTCGGCTACGCCAAGGACAAGATCCTGCTGCGCGACGTCGACCTCGACGTCCAGCTCGACTCGCGCATCGGCATCGTGGGGCCCAACGGCGCGGGCAAGACGACGGTGCTCAAGCTGCTCATCGGCAAGCTCAGCCCGACGCAGGGCCTCATCAGCCAGCACCCGCGCCTGCGCATCGGCTTCTTCGCGCAGCACCACGTCGACGCGCTCGACCTGTCCCTGTCGGCCGTCTCCTTCATGGCGCGCGAGTACCCGGGCCGCACCGACGAGGAGTACCGCCGCCAGCTCGGCGCCTTTGGCATCACGGGCACGACGGGCCTGCAGAAGATGGCCGTGCTGTCGGGGGGGCAGAAGTCGCGCGTCGCCTTCGCCTGCCTGGCCCTCACGAGCCCGCACATCCTCGTGCTCGACGAGCCGTCCAACCACTTGGATATCGAGGCCATGGACGCGCTCGCCGACGCGCTCAACGAGTTCCAGGGCGGCGTGCTCATGGTCAGCCACGACGTCACCATGCTGCAGACCGTCTGCACGAGCCTGTGGGTCTGCGACGGCGGCACCGTCGAGAAGTTCCCCGGCGACGTGCAGGCGTACAAGAGGAGGATCGCCGCGCAGGCCGACGCCGCGGGCGTGGTCAAGGCCCATTAGGATGGGCAGGGGAGATGGGCACAGGAGCACAGGAGGCGACAGCGGAGCATTCAGCATTTACAGCATATATATATATATATATATATATCTGAATCGATGAGATATGGAAAGATGAACAGGGAGAGCTTTTGATGATGAACGAAAACGTCCTGTGTTCCTCTGTAGTTTGTGATGATGCCCCCGTGATTCATTTCCTGTCTGTCCCCTGACGGCAGAGGAACTTGTTGCTCCTCGTGGCCGCCCGCTTTTCGGCACAAGTCTCCCAGTACTTCAACAAAGTAGGGAGGTCGAATTTGGCACAATCCATTCTGACCCCCGATGGCTAATTTATTCCAAGTACATGGATAATCTCAGCATCGCACAGCCAGAGAGCCAGGAGCTCGACTTCGACTTGCTCCTGTTCCTTGTAACTTGACTTGGAAAGGCGCGACCAGCCTTGGCAGACATGTCATTCTACTCAGAGTGCCAGCGTAGAAGGGGTACTCGTTCATGAATCCCAGGAAATCCGACGATCATCTCGATAACATGTAGGAGACATATGAAACTGGTACAACCCGCTTGGTGTTCTTCATGTAGTAGTACCCGTTCTCTACACTTTACTTAGTCGTTGCTCCTCTTATGAGGAGAGGCGAAGTAGAGCAATTGACTGTCTTCTCTATCGAAGTCTCAATCCAAGAACAGTTTGAAGAGCATTCAAAAATGTCGCCAAGTTGGAAACGCTACAATTACTTGGTCGGCATTGATTGCCACAAGTGTGGTGGGGGTTGGTGCGTATTAACACGGAGTCTTGAACACACACACACACACACACACACACACACTAGGGTCAAGACAAGAGCCGCATGCACAAAACACCAAAATACATCTACAGTCTGAAACATTCATCCCCTCACAGCGGAGCAAATTGTGGACACGAGATTGCCAATAATAAAATTCCGAACTTTTATTCCTTCGACTAACTGGGGCCGGAGATATTACTCGACCGCCTAGGAGGAGACAACTATGAAATGACAACACAGAAAGTAGAGAAATCCCTAATAACCCATAAGGCCAGGCAGTAGACTAGTCAAAGTCTCTGCTGCACTTGAAAAGAACAATCAAGGAAAAGGGAGGGAGGGCATCTCCTCTTCCCTCCAGTTCATCCGAAACCTGCGTAAAAGCAATAAAACAATCGGTTTCTCTTTTAAGCACTGCGACCGTTGAGAGCGATCTGCTTCCAGTGGTCGCGCTCTGCCTCGAGCTTGGCAATCTTCTCCTCCAACTCTTCCAAGCGCTGAGCCTTGCGCTCCCGAGACTTACGAGCAGCAAGAGTGTTGCGAGCTCGCTTCATTGCGACAGTGTCATGGGGATCCTCCACAATGATAGGAGGCAAAGGCTTGTCACGGCGACGAGAGTTGACGCCAGAGACAGAAGAGTGTCGAGAAGACGGAGAGTTACCAGACTTGCGTCGCTGATGTCCCGAGCTGCGCTCGACAACCTCCAGGTCATCAGAGCTGGAGGCAGGAGAGTCCTCGACAGGGGCAGGCGTCTGGGCAACGGGGGCCTGCGGCTGGGGAGCAGCAGAGGCGGCGGCAGAGCCCTCAGGGAACAATGAGAACCAGCCTTCGCCACCGGCAGCAGAGGTGCCATCGAAGTCGGCATTGCCAAAGTTGGGGGAGACATCGTAGCTGTCGTTGAACTCGGGAGACTCGTTGTAGACAGAGGGCGAGGTCAGGGCAGTGAAGGCAGTGGAGTTGGGAGCAGACATGAACGGCTCCTGCAGGAGCAAGTCCTGAGGAGACACGGTGCCCATGTTGCTGACACTACCGACACTGGAGACGCTAGCAGTCAGGTCGAAGGCCGGAGAGTCCCAAGCGGCAACGCCACTGTCCCCGAAGACCGGGAAGTCGTCAAGACCGTAATCTGCGGGATCATGTGAGCTACAGTGTCTCGCAGAGCGCTTGGGCGCAAGCTTAGAGGGTGGCAAATTACCTTGCGCGTTCATTTTGTGGTTGTTTCGCGGGACGGTACCGGTGCTCTGATTAAACAGTGGAACTGGTGGGCGAGCTTGACGAGCTTGCTGGTTCAAAGCAACAGTCGAGGTTGGAGCAGAGGATGCGTAGAACTGCTGGGCGTTCTGCGGAGAGTTGAACCGATTGGTGTAAGCCGGAGACGAAGTGCTATGGCCAGTAGATTGAATTAACTGTGACACGCGCTGATTCTGCACAGAGGGCGAGGCAGAGGCAGATTGCAGTTGCAGTTGTGGTGACAATTGGGGAACGCTTCCGGTGGAAGGTCTGTGGACAGAGCGTCTAGGTTGAGGGTGCTTCGTTGGCGTATCGAACAGAACAAAGTCCTGCTGAGGGTGCAGATTCACTTGTGGAACTTGCGGTTGCTGATGCGCGGATGGTGCCGGCAGGCTGGAAGAACTGGAGGGAGGCCATGTTGACTGAGTTGAATCCGTGGTGAAGACTGGAAAGTCTTGGGCCGAAATGGCGAGAGTGCGGATTGAACTTGAGCGAGAGCTAGGAGCTGTGCTGAAGTTCAGATCGTCCTGTGAAGGAAGAACTGAGGAGGGGGGGGACTGAGTGGGGAGGAAAATGTTGGTAAAGTGGTTGGAAGTTGACGACGTTATCTTGTCGACTTGGCTTGAAGCACTGGGGGGGCTACCTGGGAAGGGAGCGATTTATCGCATCGTGAAAGATGTTCTCATGTGGTGATCTAGATGTGCTTGTGTTTTGGATGTGGAGGGGGTTGAAGGAAGAGGAGAGAAAGAGAAAAAAAAATTGGGATGGTAAGGAAGGGCACGATTATTTGTATTTCTAAGGCAGCAACAGGCCAAACTTGAGAGAGCAGAAGGGCGCGGGCGTGGGCACTAGCGAAAACACCGGCCAGAGACAGCGAGGGACGAGGTGGCTTGGCGCTTCGGGCAAAGTACCTGCACTAACAGATCAGCTCGCCCTGCGCCGGCCTCACCTGGGTTTGCCTGTGCAGCCAACGGCCGCAAAAACACACCGGCCAGGCAGCCCCAGGCAGCGCAGCGCGACGAACGGCCTCGTGCTAAGGAGTCCTAGCAAACAGGTACCCGCGCCAGGGCTTTGCCTCCGCTCAATCCCACTGGAGCACACAGCGACGACGGCAAGCGGACACACTGGCAAGACTGACTTGCGAGCAGGTGTGACTCACACATTTTTGGCGCTAGGCCGCAAGAGGTCTCGGCGGGGACAGCCCCCCTGCTTGCATGTGGTGGGGGCCTCCCTCCACCAGCGATTCCCTTTGGTCCTCTCGGTCTTGCAGTCCTTGCTCTCCTTCATTTTCTCCGCTGTGCCGCGAATGAACGCCTCTGATTTGTCTCGAGGCCTGCATCCCCAGCCCGCACCGCCCCCTTGGTCTTCAGGTAAGCCCTTTTGCTGCTCGCCGTGCGGCCTGTCGTGGGGTTCAATGTTGTTTCGAGAGGGCGTCGCAAGGCCCGTAACCTCCGATTAAATGCGAGCGTATTGAAAAGGCCCCGCTTTTTGGCGGTTTCGCTCTAGGCTAGCGTCGACGGCCAGGTACCCACTAGGCTATGTGGAGGATCTCATTGGTCTATCGCTTCGGCCAGCCGGATACGGAAGTTTGAACCCATGAGAGAGGAGACAGCCAGACAGCACAGGACATGAGGGCCAGAGCGGACACGGACACAGACACATGCAAGGAAATCGATTAATTGGAAACGAGATGGCATCGCCGATGCGAGCAAGGAATTTGCTATCAGGCATACGTATTCAAGATTGCGCGTGTGCAAGATTCGTCCTCAGTGGAAGTACGCGGAAAGGCTACGTAGAGGAAGAGGGAAGTCGTTGGAAGGATGGCTCACTAGCATTCGTTGGATCAATGCGTGGGCAACTCGTCAGTCAGTTCTTTTGACAGCAAAAACACTCCCACAGTGGTGTGCCTAGACTAGGTACTAGATGCAAGGGCGGTGGTGCACTCCGACACCTCCCTCACCACATGCCGTCTCGTTTTCTCATCAGCGTCGCGCTTTCGTGTTCTACGCCGTCCGTATGGCTAAATGCGCACCTGCGTACTCCGTACACGTAGGTATTCCGCCTGGGCGCGCGTGCCCTCCATCGCCAGTCTCCCGTCGCAGTCCCCAGAAACCCCAACCCAACCCAACCCGCGTGCCAATCTACCCATCCCATCCCATCCCACATCCTGGCTGGCCCTGACAAATGCGCATCTGTCCTCTCCAGCCCCTTCACCGACCTTTCGGACAGATCGATGGCGGCCTGTGCTGCGCTGCAACCACACCTGTAAGACGACTGGACACCTCTTCAGACGAGCAGCCTGGGCACGTTGGACAGGGAGGACAGCCCTACGAACCGCTGCGCAAGCCTGTGCGTGACCGCGTACGTTATCCTGTGTGGGTGTGATTACTAACGCTGGCTTGGCGCGAGTTATCCCAGTTCCTTTTATCTGTTCATGTACCATGTGCGTGATGTGGTGATCGCTACCCAGTCAGGAGAACAAATCGATTGGCAAACCAAACACGCCCAAACAGCGACGATCGTGTTTAAAGTCTACAAGTTTTCATACCTGGTCACTAGGACTCAGGTCGCAAACCATTACCCAAGATCGGGCCAGAGCAAGCCTGAAAGCTAGAGAGCTGTGAGAAATCCGTCCAGCCGATGCTGGCACAGTGAGAGAAATGCCGATATCAGTTGACATGTGAACTCTTCACTGGCTTTGTCTGGGTTTTGCTACGGTCCTCGTAGCCCTGCATATACCAATCCATCTCCGTCTCATCTTGATAGCTCCAAAGCAGAAAACAAAGGTCACGAGGGCACACCTGTGCAGGTAGTTTCCCGTGCAAAGCCGGGTTCATTTCGGTGGCTGACGCCGGAAAGTCTTCGTCGCGGAACCGGCGAGGGGCTCGGGTCTTGTCGGTGCGGGTGGGTAATGGTTGTCTCACTTACACGCATTCAACAACTGCCCTGTCTACCAGACCGTAGAGACTCGCAAACACACCGTTGCGAGCACCTCGGTCCGGGTCATCTAATATCGCTTAAAAAGAGGTTCACCATCAATCGAGATATGCTGTCTCTCGAGGGTGCAGCTCCTAGCGGAAGGGATCTTCGCTGCGGTACCGCTCGTTAGTCGCGCCTTGCGGTTGACATGTAAAGGGGGCCGCGCCGCCCGCACCTGCAGGTCGGAAATACGAGATATGTCAGCAATCCGCCCCCGTCTCTCCCTCTACCTAGTACACCTACTCATCCCTGACATCCGCGTACGTCGTATTGATCCAGTCCACAAACTCAAACCAAGCCTTCTCCCAATGACTATATACATCTGCGCGCTCAACTTCATCCATGCACGCGTGCTCGATGCTCCACTCGATCAACTGCCGCCAGCCGTGCAGCGTCATGTCGGCCTTGCCTACCATGACCTGATAGAAGTCGTGAGACAGCGTCGATCTACAAACACTCACCCTTGCGGTTAGCTCCGGAGCCTACAAAACAAGTCTCAAAGGGGGCAACGCCGCTCCTTGCATCCCTCCCTCCCACCCTGCACCCCGCGTGTCAACATGAGCCGAGGACGTACCTGAACATGGTCCCGTTGTCGCTGCTGACCGTGCAGTGCACGTTGCTCGCGAGCAGGTTGTACATGGAGTGCCCGCCGATGCGGGGCGTCAGGCCCAGGATCTCGTTGGAGATGGGGCAGACCTCGAGGCAGATGTTGCGCTTCTTCATCATCTCCATGACGTAGGGGTGCCGGGCCAGAGCGAAGCCGTGCCCGACGCGCCGCGAGCCGAGCAGCAGCGCGTCGACGAGGTTGCCGTCGGTGTCGGTGCCGATCTCGAGCGTCTCCCCGCAGTGGAACAGGAAGGGGATGTCGAGGTCCTGCTCGTAGCACTTGCGCTTGAAGTCGAGGAACAGGGGCACAAAGTCCTTGAGCGGGCGGCCCTTGCACTCCTCGCCCACGAGGTCGTATCCTTGTATTTGTCGACGAGGTCAGTCTCACCACACACGCACCTATCGAGTCGAGGTTGAAACCAAATACAAGCTGCTTTGCTCACCTGCGATCCAGTCAGGCCATCTCTTCTTGAACTCGATACACTCGTCAAGTGACTTGATCACGTTCTCGTCGTCGAAAGACCGCGGCGCACAGTAGATGACTTTGAGGCCCCTGAACTTGGGGCCCTGTTCCGACGCCTGGAACTTGCCATACTCCTCCATGATGATGTTCATGATGCCCACATTGTCGATCCGGTGGCCGTCGTCCGTCCAGACCTGGTTGGTCTGCATAAAGTTGGGCCGAATCTCGGCGTACTGGATGTTGTCCGCCACAAAGTCTTCAAGCAGGAGCCTGGTATACCTGCGGTACGCCGTCTCGTAGTTGAAGAGGCCCTTCATGAGCCGTGTGCGGCCATTGAACTTCTCCCAGGTGCTTTCTCTTCTGTCAGTACAGTGCTCCCCACATTCACGCCCAGACCAAGAAGGGTGAACCTACCCATGACTTGTCTGGAATGGATGGTACGCTTCCCTCTCGTCGAAGACCATCTTGTCGAGAAGCCAGTCCCTCGGCGCCTGGTGCGGATAGCGCCGAGGGAACTCGTCCAAGAAATCCGCGAACCTCATGTTCTTCCTCCCGGAACCGCGTACCGCAGGATCAGCCCTCTCATAGCCCGGGTCAAAGAGATCCCCAGGGTGCTGCACCCCGTGCGGATTCATGGAGAACTGGATCTCGCAGTGCCGGAAGTTCAGATAATCATCGTCGGGAAGCAGAGGCACGTTGCTGTTGATAAACATGTGCTGGCTGTTCTCGATGGCGATGTCCAGCAGGACGTCCGGCAGCAGGCAGGCGTTGAAGTGGATGTGCAGGTGCGCGCCCTTGGGCATCCGGCGCGCGACCTGCAGGACATCCGTCTGCTCGATCAGCGGCCGGTCGTAGAGGTAGTGGTCGCCGGGGAACCTTGGGTGGCGCTGCCCGCCGAACCCTTCCCTGGGCGGCGCGGCGTCGTAGACCCGGCGCTGGTCGCCCCGCCTGAGCGCCTGGATCCTGGCGTCGGCCCGCCGCTCGGCATCCGAGGCGTTCTGCGTGCAGTGGTAGTCAAAGGCGAGGACCTTCTCGCGCGACAGGACTTTTGCGTGCACAGCGCTGTACTCCGCGACGCTGGCGAAGGAGTCCGGGATCCTCACGGTGGCGTCGGGGACCACGGTCTTGGGCTTGGAGGCGGCGGTCTGGAAGGCGGCCAGGTTGCTCTGGCGCCTCTCGATGATGCCGTCGAGCACCTCGACCTTGTCGTACTGCTCGTTCTCCATGGTGGTGGTGGGCGCCCTCCTCGGGGGTTGGCTGCTGCGCACGTCAGCGGGGGGTGGTCCACTCCGATCGGGGGCGCGGTTCTTGACATATTTGAGTCGCGCATGTTCGGTGTCCAGCGCCTCTTTATCCTGAGTGACATGGCGGCGGTGCCGGGAAAAGGTACCGAGACAGATGCCCATGAAAAAAAGGAACGAGCCTTGGGGTGTGGACTGGTGAGAGTGAGGCCTTTACTTATGTTACCAAGGAGGAGGGGCACGCGACTTGGCTGACAAGGGCCCGAGTTCAGTCTTGGCCGCGGTGCAGATGGAACCAGAGGTCGTCTAAGCCGAAGCCAGCTCCATCAAGCTCGTCTCCCATCTGCGGATCTAGGGCCACGGCTCCGAAAGAGAGTTGGTCGTAACCGTATTGCATGTGGTAGAGTCCCGGAAAGCCTTATGCTAATTTGTCCTGCCACGCCGAGGCCTGGGCAAAAACATCCACAGACAGATTACAGGATCCATCCATTGGCGACGGTGTAATCTGTATGGGAGCTTACAGCTGGAGGCCGCCGTAATCCTCTAGCTAATGGGTCTAGTAAGGAACTACACTCAAAATGACTAATAATGGACAAAAGGCGTTCTAAAGCCTCTAGGGCTAAATGGTTTCTGAAACGAATCTTAAAGACCTGCATTTCTAGTGGATCTCAAAACTATATCTTTTTCTTTATTCAATGGGAGGAATCGAACTTCGGGTCTTTGGAAGATGAACACAATGAATTGATTCATGTGCACTTTAGTGACTTGCCGAGTACGAGCAGCCATTTCGTGTGGGGCTGGTCTGGTAGCAGGCGGCCTGGTGGAGAGGTATGACATCGTTTAGTGGCACTGAGCTTAAGAAACGGTCACTTTGCCAGGTAAAGGGTTGACTCGAATGGTATCGGCTAGCTCGAAGGACAATATACCCTCAAAACGGCCGCTTGAAAGTGTGGCTGAACTTTGCCTGCAACTTATCCCCGTCTTGCAATGCAGCACTCATCAGAGCATCCCTCTGGGCGCAGGACTCAGCCGGCACCACTCTCACGGCAGCCTGCTTCCTCGCCGCTTCAAATAAAACCGATACATGCGGTTGCTGCTTTTCTGCATACGCTTTGAATGCTTTGGATAGCTGTGTGGTTGTAATTGGCTCCACAGGGTCAAACGAGGGTAGCTCCTGGGCCAGATAGTAGCAATCCTCGCTAGTATATGTCAGATCAGACAGATGGGAATATTACTCGACAATGGCGGCGTCGACTTACCAGGCTTGGTTGGCACCTTGTCCAATATGCACGCTCATGGGATGTACCGCATCACCCAAGAGCACGCATCTTCCTGAGTACCATTGCTTAGCCTCTAGCCCAGGTCTGTCAAAGATGCCATATTTAATCAGCCGCTCTGCTCCGGCCACCATCTCCAGCACCGAAGAGTCCCAGCTCTGGTCTCGCAGCTTCGTAGCTAGCATCTTCAGCCTTGTATCTCTCTCTTCCCCAACTACTAAGCCCCAGTCGGCCTCTGATCCACCGTCATCGGGGAGTGTCAATCCCCAGCTTGTTCTATCATGAGTGATAGGGTAGCAGACAAAATGCATATTTGCTCCGTACCAATTACGTATTCCAGGTAAACCTTGAAACTTGGCGGGTGTCGGCGATATGCCCGATGTCTATACGGACGGCATGGCGCTTATCAGCTTGGAAAGATACACGAATATAATAGACGTGAGTACTTGCTTGCGTAAGTCCCGTAAAAGTTGGCAGTCCGTCTACTGCTCCTTGTTGCGCCAGTAAAAGCATTCTGGACACTGCTCTCAATCCATCACAGCCAACGACGAAACAGCCCGTTTCAGACCGCCCACCATCAAAGATTGCTGTAACGTTCTCATCTGTCTCCTCAATGCGCTCAAGACTCCATCCATCTCTGATCTCGATACCTTGCCCCTTTACCACGTCTCGCAACCAAGATGCTAGCAGAGTCCGCTTGACACCAACAGCTGGTTTCCCGTAGAGTGAAGCAAAATCAGCTGGGACACTCGAGCATCCAAGCCGTGTGCCAGATGCCGTAAAATCTTCCAATATTTGAACAGCAGGGCCGTTGTCAAGTAGTTGCTTAGACAGAGGCCCAATGAGATCCAAGACTTTCATGCCGTTAGGACCAACCATGAGCGAGGCGCCAATGTCACCAGGTTCTGCAGCACGCTCAAATATGATCGAGTCGTATCCTTTCTTCTTCAGAAGACACGCAATAACAGGGCCGGCGACCCCGCAGCCAATAACAAGTATTTTAGCTGAAGACATGACCAGTCTGTCCACGGTTGTGGCTCAGTGACAGTGACTGTAGGTGCAGTGAGAAACCCAGAAAAGAAGTACTATCCGACGCACCACTCTCCCGTCTGGTCTGACCTACCAAATCCTTATATATATGTCTAGCTAGTTAAGGCAAGCCCCGCTTTCGAAGCAACGTGGGAGTAACATCCCATCCCATCTCTCGTTCTGCGGGTTGATGAACGATGGGTAGTTCCGACAAACTAGCAGCGAAATCTCTAGGGATAGATTTATACATTTTATAACGGACAGACCAACTTAGTCCCAGACACCTCACCACGCCGTAGCCTTTCTAGGCCGCTCATAACTGCGCCCAGGCCACCGCCCTGCCTCACCACTTCCCAACGAAGTGGTTTGATAGCTCTCTCTTGCAGTAGCTTGCTTGCCTTTCGTGTCCAAGCTATAGCAAAGTCTAGATTCTCCGGTGACTCAACGCACTTATATGGGCCGCCCCAATCAATAGCTCGACCTAACGCCCTCATGGCAAAGACCCATGATGGCCGCACGGCACGTCGCGAGTGGTTTGCTATCGGAAAGTTGTCTAGAGCTACATACCGGCCGCCGTCACTCCCTAACGCTCCATAGCATATATGCATTGACTCGGGTGTCGTGATGCAATCAACTGCATAAGCAAGTCTGGCCTTTGTAAGCGAGCGTATATCTGAGATGGCACTGTCGGCGTTGTGGTAATCGAAGGCGGCGGTTGCACCGGCGGATTTGACAAGTGCGAAGTTTGAGGGCGAACATGTGGTGATCGGAGCATAGCCGGAACTGCTTGACTTCAGTCAAGGGATCAGACTTCACATCTAAGACTCGGGAGCACCCACTGCCGAAGTAGTTGGATCATAAGAGTTCCAGAAGTGGTACTGCCCCCATATACAAGAACATAATTGCTGCCCATAGATTCGGTAGATGGCTCCTGTTGTAAGCGCATTGTCTGGTATAAGACAAGTCCAGCTGTCAATATGCCAGCCGGCAACGTGGCCGCATCCTCAAAGCCAAGATTGTCGGGGATTGGCAGCAATAATCTGGAGTCGGCAACAGTATATGTGGTGAAGGCACCGGTGCCTTCTTCAACGTTACCATTATATCCCAGCGATACGCCGCAAACTCTTTGACCAGTTGGCAACGCTGTTGATATTGCATCTCCTCGCGCCACGATAGTCCCAGAAAACTCAGTTCCGGCGATAGAGTCGATTGGAAAGCCCCCGGCAACCATCTTTGCATCAGATGGGTTCAGTGCAATGCATGCGACTTTGATGAGCACATCATTTGGCGATAAAGTTGTCGGTATGTTCTGGACAACTAGTTCGAGAGCGTTTGGTGCTTTGATTGCAACGGCATGCCGTGACGCTGGGATATCGGCCATGGTCATCGATTAAATCGGAACTGTAAGCACAACGGGCTGAGGCAATCTCAACTCTCAATAGAGTGTAATCAGTTTGGCAAGCAGTGCAGCAGATATACTGCTTTCATGTTGACAATGCCCGATGCTGACCAAAGCGGCCGCTGATCGCCGGATCGTCGCTCCCTTCCGGGCAGTTTATGACCGAAGGATCAAACATGCCAAGTCCAGCGTTGTGACATCAAATGTCTTTGTGCGGCGTGATGTTTCGGGTACACGTTGCCCTGTAGTTAGAGTTGTTATCTACCTGCCTACTTAGACTTACCTACCTACTTCGTACAAGGGTCTTGGCTTAACTCAACAAATCACTTCACGACATCATCCGCACATCGGGACGCGCAAGAGTTCAACCATATTTCAAGCGAATCTGGCCAAGAATGATGGATCCTTTCTGCCTTTCCCGACAGATCCGCCAGGGTCTCCTCCAATCGAGCTGTTACACTTGTTTACCGCTGATATGGTCAAATGTATCCCTGCAAGGCCGTGATCGGCAGCAGAACACCTTCCGAGAGAGGCCCGGAATTCGTATGAGGGCTCGTATTGGACCAGAGATGCAAGAATTGGGTGTTCATGCAAAATGACACATATGCAATGAGCGTTGCACCTGGACGGAACCTAGGCTCTACCCGACAGTTCGGTTCTCAGCAACAACAACATTCTTGCAGCTCTTCTGCAACCTGATGCATCAGTTATACAGAAAGAGCCAACAGACGCGCAAATGGAGCCAATAGCTGTCGTTGGGATAGCTCATCGCTTTCCTGGTGGAGCATCAACACCCGCTGCTTTCTGGGATCTGCTTCAGCACCCACCAGACAATCTCTCACGCCCGCCGCCTCCAGAAAGGCTGAATCTCTCCAAATTCTACCACCCAAATGACGACCAGCATGGCAGCACTCCTGTATCCAAGTCGTATTTTCTCAACGAAGATGTCACTGTATTTGATGCTCCCTTCTTCGCTATCAGCCCGCTGGAGGCCGAGGCGATGGATCCGCAACAGCGTATACTACTGGAGACTGTCTACGAAGCCAGCGAAAGCGCTGGGATACCACTGCAGCGGCTTAGGGGAAGTCAGTGTTCCGTGTTTGTAGGTGTCATGACGGCGGACTACGAACACATACAGTACCGTGATCCAGAAGACCTCTCGACATACACAGCTACCGGAACTTCACGAGCCGTGCTGGCAAATCGGATTTCTTACTTCTTTGATCTCAGGGGGCAGTCCACCGTAATAGACACCGCGTGTTCTTCGTCATTGGTAGCATTACACCTTGCGGTTCAGGAGATGAGAGCAGGAAACTCCGACATGGCCGTTGTGAGTGGTTGCAATCTGCTCTTGGGGCCAGACCTTTATGTCAGCGAGGCCAAGTTGCACATGCTCTCTCCAACTGGAACCTGCAAGATGTGGGATGCTGGAGCTGATGGTATAGCTTCTGATCATGTCGAAATCGAGGGGGATCAATCGTCACGCTAACAATATATCAGGATATGCTCGTGGTGAAGGCGTGGCGTCTTTAATTCTAAAACCATTAAAAGACGCGATAAGAGATGGAGACCCGATTCAAGGCTTGGTTCGACACACGGGTGTCAACTCAGATGGGCGAACACAGGGTATAACTATGCCCAGTGCAGCAGCCCAAGCATCCTTGATACGACACACATATCAGGCTGCGGGGCTCGACCCATTCAAAACTGGGGATAGGTGTCAGTATTTTGAGGCGTGAGTTGAGCTCTCCATCTCGCGACACGATTACAAGTCAGGGTCTAACCGTGTATCCAAACAGCCACGGAACTGGGACTAAAGCGGGCGATCCAAACGAGGCCCAAGGTATCTCGGAGGCCTTCTTTAGAGATTCTGGAGACTCGTCTGGAGACAGCCCACTTCTTGTCGGCTCCGTCAAAACGGTGATAGGCCATCTGGAAGGATGCGCAGGCCTTGCAGGGGTGATCAAGGCCCTGCTAGCCATGAAGCACGGCTCAATCCCACCAAACATCCATCTCAAGAACTTGAGCCCAGATGTTGCCCCCTTTGCCAAACGACTGAGGATCCCTACAAGGCCTATGCCGTGGCCATCCCCGCAGCCTGGCCACCCTAAACGAGCGAGCATCAATAGCTTTGGATTTGGCGGTGCGAATTCTTAAAGCACCCTTCACCTGTGAAGATGCAAAGCACTGATATCGAAGCAGGTACGAATTCCCATGTCATTCTAGAGAGTTACCATGAGAACACGGAAACTCGATCAGAGGTGTCCGGAAATAAGGATCAGACCCCATGGACGATCCCACTGCTCCTCAGCGCACATAGCAAGTCATCGCTGGCCAGGCGTGCCGGACAGCTTGCTGAGTTCTTCCGTCAAAGAGATGGCATTGATCTTCAGGATATTGCTTGGACACTGTGGGAGCGACGAAGTCAATTGCCGTATCATCATGTGTTTACTGAATCTAGTCGTGAGGCACTTCTTTGGGCATTGGACCACGTTTCGCAAGAAGCATCTCCGTCAATACTTACCTTACGATCTTTGGTGTCTCCAGAGGAGGGATTTGGCGCCCTGGGAATCTTTACTGGACAAGGAGCTCAATGGCCAGGTATGGGCCGAGAGCTGCTTTACTCGAGCCACGTATTCAGAGAAACGATTGACAGGTGCGAGCGCGCGCTACTGAGTCTTCCAGACGGCCCGGGATGGTCACTGGCTGAACAGTTGCGCGATGCTTCACCGACAAGTCCAATCTCGGACGCGGAAATAGCCCAGCCCGCCACCACCGCCGTCGAGATAGGGCTGGTTGAAATCCTTGCTTCTTCAGGCGTTCGATTCAGCGCCGTGGTCGGACACTCTTCTGGTGAGATGGCTGCGTGCTACGCTGCTGGCATCCTGCGCCTCGAGGATGCAATTCGAATAGCTTATTACAGAGGACTTTTCGCTAAGAAACGTGTTGGAAAGGGCGCAATGCTAGCGGCGGCTCTTGCTCCTGAAGAAGCTGTTGATCTCTGCAGGAGTGCAAGATTTCGGGGTCGATTGTGGCTTGCGGCGAAAAACGCCCCCTCTACTGTGACCATGTCTGGCGACGAGGACGCAGTGTACGAAGCCAAGGCATTGCTGGACGATCAGAAAACATTCGCTCGGGTACTCCGTACGGATAAGGCCTACCACTCTCCACATATGGCAGCATGTTCTGATGCGTACCTACAAGCGCTTCAGAAATGCCGGATACAACCCAGAAAGCCACGAAAGTCGTGTATCTGGGTGAGCAGTGTTGATGGCCATGCGGAGAGATCGTGGGAAGGCGACGTTGACGCGCTTCGAGACAAATACTGGATCGACAACATGCTGCAGCCGGTCCTCTTTACAGAAGCAGTCACGTCTGCTCTGACCAACGGAGGCCCGTTTGATGTCGCTGTGGAAGTCGGACCGCATCCAGCACTGAAGGGTCCGTTCTCGCAAACAGTGGCGCCGCATCTGAAGGGTGGCATTCCATACCATGGGTGCATGAAGCGCGGCGAGAACAGCATAGCAAGTCTGCTCGATCTCGTTGGATATCTTGCGGCTTCATTCGGGACGTCTACAATCGACTTGGAAGGATATCAAAAGAATTGGACGCCAGCGACCGAAAGCTCAAGACGCGTCATCCATGACCTACCCTCCTATCCCTGGGACCATGACAAGAAATATTGGCGCGAGTCGAGAATATCTCGAAATCACCGCCTGAGATCAGACGACAACAACAGCACTCTCAAACTCCTGGGCCGCAGGTGCGCCGACGATTCGGACCGGGAGCTTCGTTGGCGCAACTTCCTAAACTTGAAGGAATTACCATGGCTTCGCGGTCACTCATTTCAGGGGGAGGCTCTCTTCCCCGCGGCTGGCCACTTGTCACTCATGCTTGAGGCCGCTCAAGTTCTTACCCGCGGCCGTGCGGTCAAGTCTATTGAAGTCCAGAACGTCAGATTGGAACGGACACTCAACGTCCACGATGGACTGAGGCCAGTTGAAATCCTGTGCTCCGCCAAGATCGTGGAAGACTCACACGAAGAGCTGCGGCTGGTAGCAGACTTTTCATGCTATTTCTGCTCAGATCCTAGTACTGCGAGTACCGAGAGAACGTCGGCAGGAACTTTGGACATCCACTTTTTGGGTAACGAGGAACAAGCGGCAAACGTGTTGCCGTCTCGTGTCTCACATCGCGCTAGCACATCCACGATTGACATTGGTAGATTCTACACCTCGATGCGTGGTGTAGGCTTGGAGTATGATGGTGCCTTCAAGGCGATAAAGTCGATGCACCGCACCGCTGGCTTCGCCAATGCAAAAGCTTCGTGGAGTCTAGATGAGGTTGGGGGTGGCCATGGGGATGGGAATCTCTACCACCCAGCTATCCTTGATACTGCTTTGCACCCAGTAAGTGGTTATTTGACACGTAAAAACAAGACCATGGGCTACATAGTACTACCCAAGCGTATGACTGACCTATGAAACAGATATTCGCCGCTTTCACCACCCCATCAACAGATCGCTTATGGACAGCATATCTTCCTTTATCCATAGACATTGTCAGATTTGTTCCGACTGCAAACGTACCAAAATCTTTGACAACGTCGGTTGACATTCTGATCGACGCCCACATATCCGAAAGTTCACCAACAAGGATTGTTGGAGATGTTGACGTCTTCACTCCCGAGAATGTACCGCTGGTACAGATCCAAGGCGTGACTTTGGGAGCTCTGGAGAGAACGAGGGCGTCAAATGATCGCGACATCTTCAGCCAGACAGTTTGGAAGCCTGACATATTTGGAGGCGAAGAGTTTGCCATTGATTACAATCCTCCACAAGATGAGATGGTAATGGATGCTGAACGCGTGGGCCTGTTCTACGCTCGCAAGATCATACATCAAGGAGAGGCTATAGGCGAATCTAGGCTCAAGTGGTGGGAGCAACGCATGTTGCAAACTCTACGAAGTCATGTGAGCAGTTCTACCGCCTGGGACAATGACGACAATAGCACCATCGAGGCGCTGGTTGCAAGACACCACGAGCAAGTCGACTTTCATCTAATGCACAAGGTCGCCCGTGAGGTTGACAGCGTCTTCCGAAATGAGAAGCAAATGGTTGAGGTGCTCTTTGAGGCTCAAGAAATGAACGAGTTCTACCGCCAGGGGCTAGGGCTGCGAAATGCACAGCGTCAAATTGCAAGCTACCTCATGTCGATCACTCACCGCTATCCGGCCGCAGCCGTCCTTGAATTGGGAGCTGGTACAGGGGCAACCACTTCAATAGTGCTCGATACTATTGGGAGTGCATTCGGTTCATATACATTCACAGACGTTTCTGCGGGCTTCTTCCCTCAGGCCCAAGAGATGTTTCGTGAACATGCCGATCGGATGGCCTTCCGGAAATTAGACATCTCCACTCCCTTCGAAGAACAAGGTTTCAAAGACGGTGCCTACGACGTGGTCATCGCTGCAAACGTCCTCCATGTCACCGAGGATGTCGAGGTTGTCCTCCGTCGTGTCAGGGGCCTCCTGAAGCCGGGCGGTTTCCTCGTTGTCACCGAGCCTACAGCGAGTATGTTGAGGCTGCACGTTATTCTGGGGGGCTTGGAGGGGTGGTGGCTTGCTCGAGATAATTGTCGTGTGGCTGGCCCGATTCTCACTTGTGAGATGTGGGACGAGAAGCTACAAAAGACTGGATTTTCTGGCATCGATCTTTTCAGCCATGACCAGGCCAGCGAAGACTTGCATTCGTGCACATCGTTTGTGAGCCAGGCTACGAACTCGGATATTGACTGTATTCGCGACCCTCTGACAAACCTTGACAAATTGCCAAGATCCAGCCACATCACAATCGTTGGAGGTTCCGTATTGGCCACTTCGAAGCTGGTCAGATCCATTCAAACGCGGCTTTCTTCGCACGGATTGCGAATTGTTCATTACAAGGATGCCAAACAAGCGAATGTTTCTAGGGGAATGCCCTTTGGGTATGTTTTATACCTGTCAGAACTCGACAGGCCGACTTTTCATGACTCGTTCACCGATGAAACGCTCAAAGGGCTTCAGATGTTACTCAAGAGTCCCAACGCTTTCCTTGCAGTTACCAAGGAAGCCTCGACTTTGAACCCAGCATCAAACATGATGGCTGGTCTCTTCCGTGGCTTGCGAGCAGAAACCCCGTCACTACAATTGCAGACTCTGGAGCTGGAGCAGTCGAGAATGGATGCCGATATCATCATGACACACTTTCTCCGTCTCATCTTCGCGACGCTGCAAATTGATGAGAGCAGTCGTAATCTATCAGCGACTGAGACCGAGTTAAGATTGCGAGACGACATACTTTTCATCCCCCGGGTTGTTCCAGAACCCGAACGCAATGAGCGATACAACAGCTGTCGCAGGTCCGTGCAACGGCTGGCCTCGGGAAGGACCCATCTCATTCAGATCAACGAAGTTGATGGCAAAGCTGAAGTTACTGCGACATCAAGATTTGGCGGTTGCGATGGTAGCTTGAAAACGATAAAAGTTCACTATTCAACCCTGGCACCTGTCGGATGCGTGACTGAGTCTCAGCCTCAGTACATATGCGTTGGCACGAATGCCGTGGACAGCTCCAAGCTCCTTCTCGCACTCTCGACCAAAAACGCCTCCGAAATCCAGAGTAGAGCGGATAACGTCTATCCCATTCCTCATGGCACCTTTGACCCTCAGTGTCTGACAATTATGGCTATCAGCGTAGCTGTTCGATCATGGCTGCAACGGCTACCCCCAAAACGTACCATCTGGTTGCACGGCTTGGACATATTGGCCGTAAGGGGTTTCGAGGAGGAGGCGGCGCGGAAAGACATCAGGGTCTTTTCAACTTCTCGAAATCCCGAACATCGTAACTTCCTTCACCCTCGAGCAGCGGTTCGTACGATCAAGTCTATCATTCCAAATGACACTATTGCTCTGGTGGTCAGCGGGCCTGCACATGGCAACCAAGAGTTTATTGAGTCAGTGCGGACCAAGCTTGGTCTCTCTGCAGCTCTGTGCGGAACACTGTTTGATTCCACCAGCTCACAATCTGTGTCTTCACCGCGCGATACTCTTGCAGAGCTATACCAGAGTGCCGCCACGTGGCAGCTTCCGTCGGACACGACCAATCCCTACGCCGTAATTCCCGTTTCCGATATCAACTCTCAACTACCACCTGGAAAGTCGATAGCAATCCTTGACTGGACAGTGTCGTCCTCTGTACTGGCCAGTATAAAGCCGATACCGGCAGAAGAACTGTTCAAATGTGACGGCACCTACTTCCTAGTTGGCCTCACTGGTGAGGTTGGGTTGTCTATCTGTTCATGGATGGTTGCCCATGGTGTCCGAAACGTAGCCTTGGCGAGCCGCAACCCAAAGATCGACCCATACTTCCTGGAGAGCATGGACAAGCTCGGCGCAACGATACGCGTGTTCGCAATGGATGTGACCAGTCCTGCAAGCGTTCAGGAAGTCGTCCGGGAAATCAAGGCTCTGATGCCACCGGTACTTGGAGTTTGCAACGGCAGCATGGTGCTCGCTGATGGGCTTTTTCAAGAGATGAATAAGGAGCACATGGAGACGGCTCTCAAACCCAAAGTTCAAGGCAGCATAATACTCGACCAGGCATTTGCCGACCAGCAGCTCGACTTCTTCATCATGCTGTCTTCTTTGGGTTCGGTGATTGGCACTCCAGGGCAATCCAACTATCACATGGCGAACATGTTTATGGTCGCTCTGGCAGAGCAGCGCAGACGGAAAGGCCTTTCTGGGTCTGTCATTGACGTTGGCTATATCGCAGACATCGGCTACGTCCCCCGCCAAGACGTTTCCGTAGAGCGTACACTTCGGGCCATGCACATGTTAGCTCTTTGGGAGGAGGAGATTCACGTAATGTTCTACGAAGCAATTTTGGCAGGACAACCGGACTCGGGACAATCCCCCGAACTGATCATCGGGCTTCCTGTTAGTAATGATGAATCCAAACGACCTCACTGGGCAAGCGAGCCGCGCTTCTCTCACCTCGTTGTCGAAAGCAAGCAGTCTATGGCTGCAGTCAACGCGAGCTCCTCGGCCCTTCAAAGTCTGCACTCCGCTCTAGAGTCGCTGACTAGCGATGAAGCGCTGGCTGTTGAGATACAACGAGCGTTTTCTGAGCAACTCGAGTCCCTCCTGCAACTGTCATCTGGCGGAGCGGATATGAATTCTCCATTGGTCTCACTTGGTATGGACTCGCTACTCGCAATGGAGGTACAGAGATGGTTCCGCAAAGTAGTCGGTGCCGAGGTGTCTGTTCTGCAGATCTTGGGAGGTGCTTCTGGTGAAACAATCTGCCACGCGGCGGCCGTATCAGTGTTTGCTAGGAGGCGAGTTGATGTTAACATGCACAAGGAGCAGCGCCATGAGCTCGAGAACTCCGACCCCCAGGTCGATATCCATGATGACAGCACTCTGTCAAATGGGACTTCAGCAGCGGGAGTTTCAAAGGCTGCAGCATCGAAGTTAGGAAGTCCAACAGAGTCTCCAATACTTGGTATCGAGACTCCTGCGACATCTACGAATGGCAGCGAGCTCTTGGAACGGGAACATACAATTGGCATTGAAAAAGAGGCACCTCTCTCTGTGTCTCAGGCACGCCTTTGGTTCCTCCAAAAGTTCCTCGAGAACCCAACCACGTACAACGAGACAGCGATGTACCATATCCATGGATTTCTGGACGCCGAAAAGCTCCGCTCTGCATTCAAGCATCTTATTTCACATCACGAGGCATTACGGACGAAATTCTATGACAGTGCCGAGACGGGAAGTCCAGTTCAGGCTGTGCTGACAGAGTCAAATTGTCCATTTCGATACGTTGACGAGTCTGGAAAGACCTCCGCTGGTGCTGAATTCGAGACGATGGCAAGCCAGTCGTGGAATCTTGAACATGGCACTTGCTTGGGTGCGACGCTCATACAACACTCCTCGGAGCACCACACGCTTATCATGGGCAGCCATCATATAGCTGTCGATGGAGTAAGCTGGCTGGTCATGATGAGACATTTGGACCTCGCCTACCAGTCAAAAGCGTTGCCTCCTGTCCTTGGATACTCTGAATTCGCAGTGAGACAACAGGAGCAGCTGCGCAATGGGAGCTTCGCCGACGAGATCAACTTCTGGAAGCAAGAGCTCTCCGGACTTGAGGAGCCAATCCCATTGTTTCCGATGGCGCGTGTAAACATGCGCCCCGCGAGCAATAGGTACGATAGCGTGAACGCAGGGACACTGCTAGACACCGAAACAGTTTTGAAAGTCAGGCAAACCAGCAGTCGACTAGATATGACTCCATTTCACTTCCATCTGGGCATTCTCATGGCTCTCACTGCCCGACTCTCCGAATCGGAGGATATCTGCATCGGCATGGTAGTTCCAGGGCGATCTGATGAGGCCTTTGCTGAGACAGTCGGATTCTTCATCAACATAATCCCGGTTCGAGTCTCAGTCACCCACGAGGACACATTCCAGACGCTGTGCAAGAAGGTGTCATCAAAGATCTTCGCGTCTCTCAGCAACTCGCGTGTGCCTCTGGATGCATTGCTTGACACATTCAAAGTTGCGCGAACGGCTCGCCACAGTCCTGTGTTTCAAGTCATTATCAATTACCGGCGTAATGTCTTGGGTCATAGTTCTATTGGCGATTGCAGTGTGAAGTACATCAAATCCGCGAGTTCGGGAAATCCGTACGATATATGCCTCAACATCACCGAAACACCGTCCAAGACTTGTTTGGTGGAGATCTCATCCAGAGAGTCGCTGTACTCAAGAGAAGCCGCGCAGTCCATCTTGGACTGCTATCGCCACATTTTGGCATGCGTGTGTCAAACGCCCAGCTCCCTAGTTTCGCGTCTGCAGCTCTGGAGACAAAAAGAAGAGACAGATTCTGAGTTATTGGCGTTAGGGCGTGGGAGGAGAGTCGATCTCGAATGGGAAGAAACCGTTACCCGTCGCATTGCAGCCCTTGCTGTTCAACACCCTGACGCCGTGGCTATCGAGCAACAAAGACTGTCGCTCACGTATCGCCAGTTGATGATTCAAGTCGACAACCTGGTGGTTGCTCTTGAGCAATCGCAAGTCCCGAAAGGAGCAGACACTTACTGTTGTCTGCTATTTCAGCCAACGCCAGAATACATTGTGTCCTTCCTTTCTGTTCTCAAGCATTCGGCGGTTGCAGTACCTCTTGATACGCTTAACAGCCGGGAGCGTATGGCTATCATCCTGGATGACTGCCAACCTGCAATCGTTCTGCACCACGACCAAACAACCGAGACGGCAGAGTGGCTTCAAAGAACGTATCCACGAGTCTCCCTCTTGAACGTTTCTCGTCATATGAATAGCAGGTCTGAGAGAAAGGTGAATGACTCCTCCAGCTCAGAGTCACCAGCAGCTATGATATACACAAGCGGCACTACCGGCACTCCGAAAGGCGCGATACTGACCCACTCAAACTATCGGGATATCATAGCTTCGACTACCAACAGGATGCAGATTGGGTTTCATGGAGAGGTCGTGCTACAGCAAACAGCTCTTGGCTTCGACATGGCCATCATGCAAATCCTTCTTGGGCTCTGCAACTCAAACACCGTCGTTGTGGCGACAGAAACCCAAAGGAAAGATCCTTGCGCTATAGCAGAGCTCCTGTGCAGTCATCGAGTGTCATGCATGATTGCCACGCCGACAGAATATGCGCTCATGTTCCAGTACGCAGCCGAGACGCTTGTTCAATGCAAGTCGCTGCGAGTGCTCGGTGTAGGCGGCGAGTTGTTCTCCACCCACTTGGCCAGCCAATTTCGTCAGACTTTTGCTCACCAAATCAGGGTATTCAATGTGTACGGCCCAACGGTAAGCATCTCATCTTTCCTCAAGTCACTGTCCTGGCTGTTGTACCAAAGGACTCACAAAAGTCCCCTAGGAAACTTGCATCAATAGCAACGTCGGTCTGGTCGAGCACTGGCGGGATGATCTGGACCAAGTCGCCGTCGGGCCTCCCTTGGATAATGTCAGCATTTACGTGTTGGACGAGGGTCAGAATCCGGTGCCTGGTGGCTGCACGGGTGAGGTCTTTGTAGCCGGTTGCGGTGTGGGCCAGGGATACCTGCGTCGCCCAGAGCTCACTTCAAGTGTCTTCATCAAGGACCCCTTCGCCGAGGCCCCGGATGTCGCTCAAGGCTGGACAACTATGTACCGCACCGGAGACAAGGGATTCCTCCGACCCGACGGGACCCTGGTCGTCCTTGGTCGCGTGAGTGGCGACACCCAGGTCAAGATCCGCGGCATTCGCATAGAGCTGGAGGACATCGCTTCGAATATTGTTTCTGTGTCCAGGGGAAGGGTGTCCCAAGCTGCGGTCACTGTTCGAGGAGAGACACAGATGATTATCGGGTTCGTGGTGATGACATCAGCAAAAGACACAGAGATGGGCACTGATTTCTTCGACGACCTGGCTGCAAGTCTGCCGTTGCCCGAATACATGAAGCCTGCCGCTATCATACCGGTGGAAAGGCTACCGAAGACAACCAACGGAAAGCTGGACAGGGATGCCCTCAGCCTCATCCCATTACCACAGAGATCACTCACAAATACAGGTCCTGGAGATACTAGTCTCTCCTCACTGGAGAGTGGATTGCGCCAAGTTTGGATCGAGACTCTGTCGCCGTCGACCGATACCATCACCATAGACTCTGACTTTTTCCGATGTGGAGGCAATTCCACACTTCTCATACCTCTTCGCACAAAGATAGAGCGGCTTTTCCATGTAAAGATGCCCTTGCTACAGCTGTTTGAAGCTAGTACTTTGCGGGCGATGGCAGCCAGTATCCGGGGCGCCAAGGACGCGCAGAGCGGCGGGAGTAATTGGGAGTTCTGGGACGATGAGACGAGGTTCGACATCCCTAGCAACACTGAGTTGTCGATATCAGTACGAGATCGGAAACTGCCGACTGAACCAAAGGTCATTCTCATGACCGGTACCAACACACTCCTGGGTTCGCAACTGCTTCAATTACTGATAGCTAGTCCGGACGTTGCTCAAGTGCACTGTGTGGCCCTCTCGCTGGAGGAACAGGCTGGCATGGCCACCAGTTCCAAGACCACACTTCACACCGGAAGTCTTCGAGACCCGAACCTTGGCCTCTCCACAGAAATGCAGCAAACGATTCAGTCAGAGGTCGATATCATCATCCACGCCGGTGCGGATGGGTCCTGTCTAAACAACTACTCTTCGATCAGTCGCCAAAACGTCGATTCTACCAAATTCCTTGCTTCCCTCGCCATTCCGAGGCAGATACCAATCCACTACATATCAAGTGCCCGCGTGGTGCTTTTTACAGGCCAGAACGAGTGGCCTGAAGCTTCCGTTGCCGGTCATTACCCGCCGAGTGACCAGGGCAGGGAAGGATTCACGACGACGAAGTGGGCGAGTGAGATGGCCTTGGAGAGTTTCCATGCCCAGACCAAGGTGCCGATCGCCATTCACCGGACTGGGTACCTCATGAGTGAAGACGCCGATCAGATGGTGAGTCAAAACGAAGGGGGATCGTCTTGATCAACGAACGCTAACACGTCTTTCCAGGACATCGTCAACATGATTTACAAGTATTCGACCGAGCTACGCGCCGTGCCATCCCTTGCCAAGTTCTACGGATACCTGGATATGAGCGAGGTCCAATCAGTCGCGGCGAGCATGGCCAACTCTGTCCTGTCACAGGGTCCCACCCCAGAACGGGTTATGTACCAGCATCATACCGACAACAACGCAGTGCCGATACATGACTTCAGGTTGTTCATGGAGAGAAAGCTAGGTCACCCGTTCAAGGAGTTGGCTCTGGATGCCTGGGTGGCAGAAGCCGAGGGCGCTGGGTTGAGCCCGTTCTTGGCAGAGTTTCTTGGTGTCGTGGCTGAGAAGGGGGAGGAGGCGAGATATCCGAGATTGCTGAAAGGGTCTGCATAGAAAGCAGTATGTATACAGGCGCACATCTATCAGTGGCTTCACAACGGTGAGCATGAGCGGTGTGCGGAACATGGGCTGCAATTGTTCCAACATCTCTACCACAACCTATTTTTCCGGACAGTAGATGCTCATCTCCAACCCATTCTTGAAAGGCAGCGTCATGTTGATGAACCCGCTGTCAGGTGACCGCATGTAGGTCAGGTAGTCGGCATACCCCTCGGCAGCCATGATCGTGTTGTCCGCAATCACGACCGCCCCCGGCCGCATCTTGGGCTGGACAATCTTGAGCGTCGGCAGCGCCATCGGGGTCCAAACTTCACCAGTCATCGTAAGTAAATCAAGCCTCCAACACTCAGGGGATATTACACACAAGGACCCGGGAGAAAGGAAAAACACTCACTATCAAGCAACAAGAAATCCACTCGCTCCAAATCCTCCTTGAGCGTCTCCCTCAGGTCCCCGACCCTCAGGTCAATCACACCGCTGACCTCCTCCCCACACTCGTCCCAGTGCGCCCTCGCCCGCCGCGCCTTCTCGGGCTCGTGCTCCGTCGCTACGACCCTAGCCTCCTGGCCCCCTCCCGCCCGGCGGGCGTTCGCCGCCGCCGCGAGCGCGAGGTAGATCGTGCTGACGCCGAAGCTCGTGCCCGCCTCGACGATGACGAGCGCGCCCGTCGCCCGCGCCAGGCCGTACACGTACTGCGCCTTGTCCTCCTCGAGCGCGATGAACTTGTCGCGCATGCGTCGCGCCACGGCCTGCTCGCCGCCCGCGAAGAAGTCGTCGGTGTTCAGCTGGCTCTCCTGCGCCAGGGACTCGGCGTGCAGGCGGGCGAGGATGGAGCGGATGTGCTCGGGGACGCCCTGCATGGGGTTCTGCGGGGGCGGGGCCATGGTGAAAGCTGATGGATCGGCTGTAGGTAGTGAGTCTGAAGAGTGCGGAATTCCTTGATGAGGGGAGATGAACAAAAGCTCAATGCAGTGAATCAATAAGTTCGTAGACTGTCTCCATAAACGGATTTAAATAATTGTATTTCCTCGGAAGTCGCCGCAGTTGACCGACTTAAATCCCCGCGTCGTTCGGCCCCGAAATTCGGAGTCGAGCAAGTTCCCCCGGCCTTCCGCTTCCCCGCATGATGCATGCACTCGTCTCGTGGAAACTCCCTTCATCAGGCCAGTTTAAGCGAGATGGAACTTGGTTCATTCCGCTTCCAATGGGCTGTGAGCCATGATGGCTCAGCTTTCAATGGGGTGGGTATACCCGAGAGTCGTGTAGAGTCGAGACTCCCTCGGCGCCTGTTGAGCGACCCGACCCGGCCTTCGCCGGAAACGTCCCGCAGGACAAAGATACCAATCACTAGTCGTAAAGGCAAGCTTTGTGAAGAAGAAACAAGTGCATATATTCGTCAAAACGCTTGCCGTCGTTTCCTGAATGCTCTCTATGTAAAAGCGCGGGAAAATGACAAAACGACTCCCAGAGATTTGAGTCGTCGTCCAAGCAGATGCGCTGTAACGTGACGGCCTCTCTATCTAGTATTAATACAGCAGCCATGGTAAAGAACAAAAAATGAAACGATCAATCAATCATGCCTCCCTCGCTGCCTCGTGACCAGCTGTTGACAAATATCCTGCCATAGAAGGCTTTGCCAAACTCTGATTTCCCAAGGCTTCCCTTTTTCCCTTCTCAAACCCCGCTCATATGATGCAAGCCGCCATGTACGATGAAGAAAGCAGTAAAAATGAAGAATGTAGAACGTATTAGTACAAGATGTTGTTGATGAACGGGTTTGCAACGCTATGCGAAATCGCTGTGCTGTGCACGTCTCGGCACCTGGCCAGTATATTTCTGGCATAGGCTGATAAAATGTTCGTTCTCGTCTCAATTCTTGGCTACACTGGCCAAGATGGAGAACTGACCGCCCGCTCCGGCGTAGGAAAGACGCTTCTCGCGTACCGCGGTGTTGTCGATAAGGGTGGGCGTCTCGATATCGTCGATGGTGCCCTGGCCCGTCTGGTAGTTGGCTGAAAAGCCCCATGAGTAGGCCTTGCCATCGCGGGTGATGGCGAAGCTGTTGTCTGTACCAGCAGCAACAGACTCGACGGGAGGAACATCTATGCCAACCAGTTAGCTTTCTACATCAGATTTGGCTTAGGGGGGGGTCGGTTCTTACCAGGAACAACCGTCGGAAGCTTCAGAATGCGGGGCTTCTCCCGCTCGTCAAAGATGGTGTTATCCTTAGTGAACACCTCTTTCTTCATGCCAACCTGGTAGCCATCGACTCGGCCCCAGGTCAGAAGCTTGCCGTCTTCAGTGCAAGCGAGTGAGTGGTGTTCGCCGCCACAGATATCGTGGACTGGCTCTGTCAGGGCCTCGACCAAGGTGGGCTCGAGAATAGCGGCGTCACCTTCGCCGGCACCCTCCTCGACACCCAGCTCTCCAAAGTTGTTCAGGCCCCAGGCGTAGACGCGACCGTTGTGGTCAACTGCGAAGCTGTGGTAGCTTCCACATGCTACCTTTGTAATTTTGGATCCACGCTTGAACGCGACACCGCTGGGACGCAGCGCAGCCTCCTTATTGCGCTGGATGCATCGGCGACCGAGCTGGTTCTGCTCGGGGCAGCCCCAGGCGAAAACCTTGCCCTTTTGGTCGAGTGTGAGAATGTGGTTCGATCCAACTGCGAGCTGGGTAACCTTCTTAGGTTCAGGCAGGAGGATTGGGGTTTTCTGGATGAGGATATCCTTGGTGAAGCCCAGAATTCCGTCCGCAGCTCGGAAAGTGCCCCAGCCGTAGACTCGGCCATCGGCAGTCAGGGCAAATGATGCGCTGTCGCTGGCAGCGACCTGGACAAATACGGTTTCGGGTGCGATGTTGGTCGTGTCAATCTCGCCGGGGGTGCTCTCCTTAGGGTTGAGGCCGGTGTCATCCTCATCATCCGAATCAGAATCGGAATCGTCGGCGTCACGGAGGCCACCATCCCATGTGGTGTCTCGGCCTAGAGCGCCTTGGTCATTGACGCCCCATGTGAGAATCTTGTTATCCTTGGTCAGAGCAATGGAGTGCATGCCACCAGCACAGATCTGGACGACGCCAACTTTGTTGCTCGCAAGGTTGGCATTGAGGCGAGGACGCTTGACATCAATCGGCTTCTTGCCGTCGGTCTTCTTGCTGCCGAGGCCGAGTTCGCCAGAGGTTCCCTCGCCGAACACAAAGACGTCAAGAACGTCAGCAGGAGCCTGGTTGATGGCGACTCCAATCTTTACGGCAGGCCTTTTGACCTCGGGCTGCTTCGCGACCTTGGCGACCTTGGCTCGCTTTACAGGGCGCTCCTCCGCCGCCCGTTCCTCGTTGATCTCATCATCGGAGATCTCGTCGCTTCCTCGCTTGACGCCGTTAACCTTGGGTGCGGCGGGGTCGGCATTCTCTTTGTCGGCTTCGACGGATGCGGCCTTCTTCGTAGCGGTGGCCTTCTTCGCAGCGGTCGCTTTCTTGGGGGCGGTCTTCGCGGCGGCTGACTTGGTGGGCTTTGATGGTTTAGTTGCTTTAGCTTTGGTGTTCTGCTTCTTGGTGCTGGGCTTTGCTGCTGCGGCGGGTTTGCGCGCGGCTCTCTTCTTCTGGGGTCTCACGTTCTGCTGATCATCCTCCTCTCCGTCCGAGGCCTCGTCGGCCTTGCGCTTGCGGGAAACAGGCTTCGCGGCGGCGGGGGCCTTGGTCTTGGCCTTGGAAGCAGCGGCGGTCTTCGCGGGAGCTTTGGTTTGCGCAGCCTTAGCAGGCTTCGCAGCGGGCGCCTTGGCGGCAGCAGCAGCTGCAGTCTTCTTGGGCGGCATTTTCGAATACCACGAAAGTGAGACAAAGGTGACAGGAGGTAAGATGTGGGAAAGGGTCTTTGTCAATGTGACGAAGGATGAAGGGAATGTAGGGTGAAGGTTGCGAGAATGGTAAGTATCTGATTGCTTGAAAGAAGCTCGATCAGGAAGATGGTTGGAACGTTGAGAAGATTCGCAAAGTGGAAAGGTTCTCGTCGAAAAGTGCGATGAGAAAAAAGGTGGGTGGAAGCAGCTGTAAGGTGATGAGACGCGGGTGGAATCTTGTTATTGTTGCCCGGTCCGCATTGGGAGCTCCTGTGGGACCCGACCTAAGATTGGGCCAACGGCGAAAAAAAGCTCACCGCCCTGCGGATCAATTCAGCGCCTATTGTCCTTTATGCCGGCAGAATACTCTTCAAGTCCCCAAACGGAAAGGCGGTGGCCGCAAGAACAATGAACCCGCTCCCTGTTGTCAATGGAAGAAAGCGCACACTACATGCGACTGAACAGAGTCTTTCGCTTTTGTTGCCGTTGAGTCTGACAGATATATATACGTATATGTATATAATGTGCGCAACAAAGAATCAGGTTGGTGCTCAATTGTTCTTTGTGTAATTCGCCGCCCTCGTGGGCTTTCCTGCAGCCGACAACAGGCACCCGCCTCCACAACACATGCGCGCGCACTGGTCAGGTGTCGACGTTGAACCGTACGTTCTGCGACCTTGGAACACAATAACCCATCTGAGCTGACTATTGTGTTGACTGATGACTTCATCAAGTACCAGCACACCTCCAAGCAGCAATGTACCTCGAACGAATAATCAATTCCATTGTTCATTATCAATTTGGGTCGATGCGACCGAATCTAACTCCTAAGCGCCATTCCATGCCGCCATTGAGATGTGTGTATCTCATCATGTCACCGAACAATGCTGCCACCCACCGGGTATCCCGTATAGCCATGCCACCTTGATCTCGAGCCGAAGAAATGCAAATTGTAGAGAAGTTTATTTCTTGGTGGTGAAGTCGATCTCGTTGGAGGGGTCGAACTTGGGATCGGCAGACTTCTCGCAGGTGCAGGCATCTGGAGCAACACAGTTAGCGAGCTTGCACACAGGAAAAAACAACACTACTGGTACTTTGACGGGATGTTACTCACCAGCAGGACGGGCACCGCAGGTGCAGGTCTGGCCAGTAGGCTTGGTGTTCTCGCTCGTGGCGCGGTCACAGGTGCACTGACCGGCGGGGCGGGCTCGGCAGGAGCAGCGAGGGCCGGTCACGGTGTTCTCGGTGGAAGCCTTGTTGCAGGTGCAGTGAAGGGCGGACTGCTGGCCGCAGGAGCACTTGGCTTGCTGGGCTGTGAAGAGGGCTTTGTCAGTCGTGCTCAAACAAGGACTGGAGATTCTGTGGGGGAGGCCCATAGCGAACTTACCGCAGACGCATCCGGCTTCGCCCTTGCCGCAGCAGGTGGTGGGCTTCATAACCATGGTGGCCATTGTGGTAGAGTATGTGGTTCTGGTAGATGGGAGTATGTGGATGTGGTTTTGGTTTTTGGTGGCTGGAGGTTGATTGGAGCTTGCAAGAGGGGTGTCGCTGAAGTCTGAACCAGATGAGTTTGCTGGAGATCTGGAGAGCTGTTGAGTCTGAAGAGCAGGAAGGTCCTGGTATTTATGCTGGTCTTACACAACAGCCCACCTGTGGTCCAGGCCAGAAACTGACATCACTCCCTGCAATCCAGTGTCCTGAAATCGTTCCATCCCGGGTAATCATCTTTACTCTGATTGGCTGCTGAGCCCTGAACCTTGAGTCTACAGCCAATGAGAGCGGCGCTGATTCACTTTAAGCCAATGAGAGGGATCACAATTCTGATTAGCCCGCTAGTGGCACCACATCCAGGCCTAGTGCTTGCATGACCCAGATCTCATGCCAGGGACATCCCGCTCCTCGCCCTAAATCAAGCAACTAGCTTGTACTCTCGTGCCTGAATGAATAATTCCTGGTTCCTGAATGGCCAGATGCACCGTGTGTGGGCTTCTCGATCCATTAAAGAACACCTCCGGGTCACTGACAAATCACAGTCCCTTGATGATTACAGCTTGCATACAGAAGGTGAGGGAACCAGTCACTCTCTGCTTTATGGTAGTAGGAGGTCTAAGTTCACATGTTGAGCACCAACCTCCTCCCTTGTTCAAACCTGACAGAGTGGCCACATATTGTTCTTGCCCGGCAACTAGCCTCAGAGCTGTTACAAGCAAGCCCAGCGCCCTGAGCGAATCAGGCCCTCCTGCTGAACAGATAGACCTCGACCTGTTCATCTTCTGAAGCAAGCACGGCTAGAGGCAGTGTCACCTCTTCTGCAATGCTCCATCTCTCTTCCGACATGAGCTCGAAAAGTTCCTTTTCCGATGGATGCCTAGGCTTGGTTGCCAGTAGCACCTTGCAGTCCTTCCCCATGCCTCGTGAGAGATCATGGAGCGCAGAAAGGGTTCCGACAAGAGATGGTAGCATGTCCACATTGTAGGTACAATCGCTCAGCATGACCAGATCAAACGGGGTAGACCGGACAGCCTTCAGATCCCCGAATAACCCCTTCCGGCCCAAATCCCAGTCCAGAGCACCCCATTCAAGTTTGACTATTGATGTCCCGGGATTTGTCGTTGGCGTTTGCGAACCCTCAAAGATGGAAATGTTGCGACGTGCCTGGTCCTCTGCCTCGTGTAGGTCAGTCAGGAGAAAGAATGTCTTCTGTCCATGTGGGCTCCGACAACGACCCAATATTTGAGCCGCCCCGATTCCTAGGATTCCAACTCCAGACCCAAGCTCCAAAATCCTCAACTCTTCTGAGTCAAGAAGAATCTTTCTGAGCTCCGGCAGTGTATTGGTGTACTTTCTTGTTATGCTCGTGCTGCAGATGTCCTGCAACAACGCCACTGTCACCACGCCTGCGTCCCACACATGGCGAGCGATGCTTTCACCAATCTCTTCTTCCACTACCACTGATACCGGGCCGCTGTTCTCGTCACCATGATCCCCCAAGACTAGTCTCCGAGAAGAATGGTGCTCTGGGTCTTGGCCAAAAAAGGCCAACTCAGACCAGACAGGCATGATGAGCCCATGACCTTTCTGCAATAGATCATTGCTATAGACAGCGGACAAGAGACTGTCTTCAGGCTGAATGAATAACCTGGGTCGTGTTGCATCCTTGCCGAGGCCCATCAAGCCGGTTTCGAGTCCATCACTTGCTGAACTGCCCGTTGGTCTATCTGTGGAGACGTTCTCGAGCTTGTCTGCAATTCGTTGTGGAATGACGAGCTCAGCTTTCAGCACGCGCATGCCTGCTCTCCAGACAGAGGAATTATTCTTGCCCTCAGCTTGAAGTTGTGTGGTTACTGTTTCAGTGGTCCGAGGGTGTGAGCTTGTTGGGGGATCTGTGACTTGATCGGCTGTCTCGGGTGTGCCACCATCTCGAGTTGACCCAACTGTGCCTCCTCCACTCTCTTCCTCGTGTGCGCCTGAGAATTTCCTCTTGCGGGTAGCGGTTGTGCCAGCGTTTGTCTCTTGAACAGCGGCGGGATTGGGGACCTCATGCTCTAGGTTGAAAACTAGTTTGATTGGTGAGTCTGGACAGAGGAAAGACTCTCCTAGATCTGTCGTGATCGTCAAGACTACTTTGACAATATTCTTGATAGAATTCTTTGTCCCAGTCTGTGTGACTGCAGGAGGCCGCAAGAGCCTGATGTAATGCATATTGGGCTGTGTTGTCCGCCTGGTAAGCTTCTCTTAAGCTCCACCAAGTACTCTGGTGCACAACGACAGGTTAGTATGAGCTGAGGCTAGACCCTGGGGTGTCAAAGCCTGGTTTCCAACTTACAATCAAAAGCTATAGGGTTTGAACGCCCTGATCTGACTTCATTTTCGAATTAACGGAGTCGTCCGCTTCATCGTTGCGAGTTTTGATTTTGCCACGCACAACAGACAGTGCCAAAGGCGCTAACAAATTAAATTGGTTTGTACTATGCTTAGTCATCTGCCACCTGTGCACAAGTTCACAGGAGTACCCAATCACTTCAAATCACTTCACCTTCCACAGCCTACCTTACTTACTTTGAATGATTTCACAGTAAGACTAAGAAAGGTATCTGAAGGCGGTTTAGAAATTCAGCAGACAAAGAAAATTGAGATTTGTCTGCTGCTCATTTGATGTCTCCTCGGGTTCTTCAATAGACTTGTAATTTTTGGCCCTCGGCAACTCTGTCTATCCTGGTCCTCAACGAAGCTGTCGGCTCCTCTTTCTAACCGTATCCCCACAACTGCCTTGCTTTCAATGATTTCATCGCCAGACTTTTCTTTCGTTACCAGGCCCAGAGCGGCCTCATCCCATTTGGCCTTTGCCTCGATTCTCCCGCGGGTCCGCGCATAAGGACCTCATTGTCTAATGATCCACATTCAAGACAAATTTCAGGGTCTCGGCCACGATTTCAAGCATGATAAAGAGTAACACGGCCTAGTAGAGTATCATGTTCAATGCTGGAGTTCCAGCACTCCGTGCACTACTCTGGCCGAGTCTCTAGCAACGTGACTGCTGCTTCCCTAGGCGAATCGACTGGGCGACCGAGTAAACAGGAGACAGTCATCTCTCCTCAGATATGTTGTAATACACAATTAGCTTCTATATACAGGCCATTGGTTGTTCAAGTTGAAGTAGGTTACTCAAGACTTCATCAATGAAGATGTGTCGTTCTCGGTGCTACCCCTGGCAAACGCTCCCGTCTGACTGGCGATCCCACCTCTGTTCATGACCATGAGTATATTGTGGACGCGCCCCCCAAATCATATTGTCTGACTCTCTGTCCTTACTTTCTAGGGAGTTACTCTCGTACCAGCCGGCCCTTAAGACCAGTCACAGTCTCAACGTACGGCTCGAATTTGCCGGCTCATTCCAATGACAAAGTCGCTTCTCTTAAATACCGTTGTCATTCAGAGTTAACTTGAGACAGTGATGATCTCTACTTGCGACCAAAGAAGTTGAAGAATGCAATATGGGAGCCGATGTGTTGCAGCTTTTCATCGAAGTCTTCGAAGGTCGAGCAATAACAATGAGTAATGTATATATTGACAGTGAAACACAAGACTTATTCTAGAACCTGGTATGGTGACTTCGAAACCATAAAATGGTATTCTGTTAGTGCTCTGTCTCCAGCTGAGTGAACAATGACGGAGTGTTAATGTTGCTGAAGATGTTTGGGTAACCCTCCTTTCGCGTCCTGATGAACGCGCGTGATCCAGCATAACTTTTCACCTGAACTCGGCTATTCAGCTGGTGCACGGTCCGTCCTCTTGCCCTACCTCGAAGCCCTCTTTAATTCTGCTTGTTTGCAATCCCACACAAACTTTGCAGCCTTCCCACCACTCTGCGCAGCAGCCTAAATGCAACTCCAAACTTCACCAAAGCAACACCAGCTCCTCCCCCAACTACTTTCATCAGCACCTCCACCCGAGGACGACCTGGTCATCAAAGACGTCGAGAGTCTGTCTTCTTCCTTCATTTGTTTCCATCCCAAGATATTTTGCCCTGCTCAGGTTGATATCGTATTTGAGATCATCTACCGTAAGAACCCCTCATCTCACCCTCTCTAACTTCATCTTCATCTCCATCTTCTTTGTCTATATCACCTTCTCCTATTCAATTTTCTTCTGTTTTATCTCTGTCTTCCATCTTCGGCTACTGACTCTTCAGGATTGCAACTTGTTAGTTCACAACTTGCTTCACTCCAGAGGTTCATTCACCCGCTCTGTCTACCCTTCGCACCAGTTCGAATACCCACCAAAGACGTCTCAGTCATCCAGCATGTCTCACTACGGCCACCGTCGGTCACACCGGGCGCGTGGCCCAGATGCGACACCAAACCTGCTGCGCCGCCCAGAGACTATCCGCGTTGAGCTCCCCAACGTGGAAGTCTTGCCGCAAGTCTCAGAGCGCGAGCAGCAACTCCGGGAGGCAATCCAACAACGTGTTGACGTCGAACAAGTATCGCATGCCACTTAGGAAGAGGCAGTGTACTACATGAAGCACCCGGAAGAGCACCCGCACAGGCTTGCGGTACAGCAGATTATCGAGGAAGAGACGTCTGCTTTTGCAGCTCAGCAAGTGGAGTCCCGCGAGGAAAACCTCCAGGTTCATTCTGGTGAGCAGTCTCGTGAGCAGACTGAGGAAGAGACCAGAGAGCCGGAACCCCAGGAGCAATCTCAAGAGAACTCCATGGAAGAGCAGTCTTGGGAACGGTCCCAGAGTCAGTTGACCGAGCAACCCCTGGAGCAGTCCCTGGAGCAGGCTGAGGAGGACTGTCCGGAACTGCAACCCAAGGGGGCGTCCCCGAACACATTCCAGAAGCAGGAACACCAGGAGAAGCCTCAGAACGAGTCCAAGGAGGGGCAATCCCATGACCAACTGGCACAGCAGCCTGAGCAGCAACTGGGACCGCTGGCGATTGCAGACATGGAGCAGCACCCTGAGCCCGACGAGCCAGTAGCATACATAGTACAAGCCGGCCGGAACGAGACCGGCAGAGGCAAAGCGGTACCGGACCACATGGTGGCTGTCTTGAAAGAGCCAGGCTACCACCACAAGTGCGCCGACCACCACAGCACCTGGTGCAGCGAGTGCGCTTTCGATGGGATAGCGTACGCATACTCCCTCAAGGGGACACACGTTGTGGACGCCGCTCTGCGCGCCCGAGCCGAGGCAATCTTCCCAGAGCTCGACCCGGTGCTGACCAACGTCGAGGCACTCCGCAAGGAGCCGGGTCAGACGACGAGGTATATCCCGCAGTGGGACATCAACCTGATCGGCCCTTACGAGTACAAGCGGATCAGCCCGGACTTTGATCAGCCCGAGAGTCCCAAGACACCGGACGCGTTGAAGACGTTCTTCTGCAAGGACTGCAGGGGACTGACTTGGCTGTGCAGCTCTACATTCTTAGAGGAGTCTCGAACCCACCCGAGCCACCATTGTGCTTACAACTACGGCATGGAGGCCGGGAATAAGACGAACGAGTTGTCAGGATCTGGAACGGCGAGGAGCATACTGGTTCAGGCCATCGGACTCCCGTTGCCGGCAAAGTCGTCCGCTAACGGCGGTGCCGGCCTGGGCCTGTTCTTCGGCCCAGAGTCGGAGCACAATTGCCAGCTCTCTGTCTTGTACAAGGACCTGTTCTCTACCGAAGGGGGTCCAGTTCCCGATCGCCCCTTCGAGAAGATTGATGACAACAACGGTCCCACCCTTCTCGCAGTTTCGAAACTGCTTCTCCAGATGAGGGACACTGTGGCCCCGGAGCACCGCGTACGAGTTGATGCGGTCACGGAGGGAAACATGCGTCATGCGCGCATCAAAGCTCGCCGCGTCCGGCTTATCATCGAAACAGACTCCGAGTATATCGTCGACCTGTTTACCAAGCACTGGGGAACGAAGTATGTGGAAAAGAACAAGCAGAATCCCACCGAGCAACCCAGCGCCAAAGCGACGCAGGACCCGGTGCCACCAGCCGGGCAAATGGACGAAAACAACCCCCAGAAGCACGCCGGTGGCCAGCAGGACGCGGCACCTGAGAACAAGAAACACAAAAAGAAGAAGCAACACAAGAAAAAGAAGAAGAGCGTCGCGGAGAAGGAGGCGACCAGCCAAGCTGCCCTAGTACATCAGGAAGTCCTCAAAAACTGGGGGTATGCTGCGCGCAAGGAGGCGTCCGAGGCCAGCCCCGACTCGACCCGGGTTATCTGGGACACCCGGGCCAAGCGGGTGATACCGAACAACTCCTTTGTGCTCGGCATTGTCTCCTCGCTCATGAAGCTGCGGGAAGTGGGCATCACCGTGTCGTGGTACCTCGTGCCGTCGGAGCATGTCAAGGAGGCCAGGTACATGGCCAAGAAGGCGGTGCAGGATTACAAGGACTGGGTTATCCAGGCTGAAGAGGCTGGAGTAGAGTAGATGCCCGTCGAGGCTTTCTTCGTTGTGTCTTGAGGCTGTGAGTCTGTGCCTGAGTCTTGTGGTTGCTCCAAAGGCGTTAGGCGTTGGGCGTTGGAATAGGGAAGACTGGCAGTGATAATTACTTGTGGATTCAGCAGTTTAGACCTACAAAATAATGATCATTATATTCACGGACACTCCAGTTCCTGGGATTTGCTCTCCAGACAAGGGTCGCCACTGGCAGTTCATGCATTTTACACAACCGAATGCTGAAAGGTGATGGAATTCAAATGTTATGATCTGTCAGTCAATACTGTGGATAGGAGCAAGGGCTAATAGCATAGGGAAGAATCTCTATGGAGAGCAGTATCCTGAATTTTCCATAACCCGCATCCATTCTTCTTGTATCCTGTAATGAGACTAATGGACACAGATAAAGGGGTGAGCACTGCTCTACTTTTTCCTGGCTGGGAAGAAGAGCTGCCAACATGATGACTGGTGTAAAACCCCAAACATTCTCAAGGCCAGAAGTGAATCGAGATACTGAACACTTCACCTCGTGGCGCGGCACAGTTATGCACCTCTTGGTAGCGCTTGACCAAAAGCAGGGCAATACCCCTGGCTCGTGGACGTTGGAGGTGGAGTTTTCTTTACACTCATGCATCTTACCACTTTCACTACTTGGCCACTATTCCAACCCCGCCGGCCCTTCCGGGGGGCGCATAACGCGGTTCTCATGCCAGGTTTTCCCTCACTTCTTTTGTCCTTGCTTGCAGCCAAGACGTCATTCATATTGCAAAGGAGAGAGTTTCTGGATGCAAAGAAGAGGCCGGAAAAGAAGGAGTAGAAAGCGCAAGCAGGATTGTGTGCTTCCCCCCCCTCAAGGCTGCGTTTCTCTACTCCCCATGTTCTCACGTCATGTATCCTTGGGAAGGACAGAGCACTGCAGGATAAGCCCATGCAGCGAGTCAAGCACACCTGGCTTCGCTACACCCACCCCCGCATTAGGAAGTCACTCTGCAAGTAGAGAGGGTGATGATACTGACTGACGTGACACTATCGCAGGCCCGAACTCTCAATTTGGTACGAAACCCCTGTTCCTCTTGAATGGCTTCCGCGTCCTGCTTGGCGCTGCGACCCTCAGTTTCCACAGACCTGCCGAGAAGACGGAAGAGAGACGGAGTAATGGAAAGAAAGAGAAACCGATTAATGAACGGCTCACTACCAGCTTGTGCCTGTGCCCGAGTCTCAGAGCGGCCCAAGATCTTCAGCTACAGGGAAACGGGAAGTACGCGGCGCGTCCACTGGTGAGATCCCCGCAATTACCGACTGCGGGCGGGTGGATGGCGGCAAGACCACTGCGCTCCACTGTGTCTCGGGAAGAGGGGCGCTGGGAAACCCTGTAAACACGCCGGCGGCTTGCGCTAGAACGGAACATGTTTGGGTCGGACCTAGCACCGGCGCCGTCGTTGCTCTCGGCTTCATCGTTCGACAGCCCAATATTCAGCTTTGAACTCCGACCATTTGTATTAGATTACGGAAGCGGGATCGCCTCGTTGGCCAACAGAGATCTGCGATGGAGCGGTACTGGCTGGCTGACCCCGCCGGCATTTCTCTTTTGCTCCTTGAGGAATCTAGTTACTAGCCCGATAAATCAGCCACGAGCTCTCGTGAGGGGAGTGTGTGCAAACACTGTAGTTGCTCGTACCTTCGGAAGACAGATCAGGAAACGAACCTCCAGCAAATTCCACCCGAGGACGGTCCCTAGCCTCTATCTGGGGCCACCGCGACATCGTCTAAAATAAGTACCATGGTGCAACAGCGCAGACAGCACTCGTAATACCCTGGCACGAAGGAGGAGAGAGAGACAGGCATGCCGCATGGTGAGGTCGTATCCCACGCTTACTGAGCCAATGCGCGTTCAGACCGTTCGAGCGCGAGCACCCATCCGCCAGACCCGTAAGCACGTCCGGGGGACACCCTTCTAGAAAGGTGGACAGATTTACTCAAGGAGAATTACGTTATACGGGACAGAGTGCTTGGCCCCATCGGGCCTTTTTTTTCCCTTTCTGTCTTCACAGCCATGGCGCAGACCTGTCAGAACCATAGGTAGACTCCAGCATCCTACGAGGTACGACTTCACGAATCAGTGAGCGGTATTAGCCAGGGCACAGTGCTGCGGTCTCGCACTCAACGAACATGCAAGATAGACTTCATCCGGCGCAAACCTTCCCTTCCACAAGGGGCCAGCATCGCCGGCTCACCGGGTCGGAAGGGGGACATCGCGAGGTCATGCTGGCCACATGTGAAAAGTTGGTGTCCCTGTTCCATCCCTGCAGCACCACGGTGCGGCACACCCCGCGCTGCCCGTTCCGTTGATGGGCCGCTTGATTGGCCGCCGCCGAAGTGGCGTGGGAAAGGGATTGAGTGAGGGTGTGATGGCCATATCTGCACGCAATTGCAGTTAAGCGCCGAGGTGACCAGCCTCTTTCCAGAAAAAGAAGCCCAGAATTTACCTGGTCGAAGGGCGTGAGAATGGGACAGACAGTGCCACCACCCATCCTCGAGATCAATACTAATCAATCTCGTGGTGGGACACCACCAGATCAATGTGACGAGAAGCTCGACGAGAAGTGCTTTTCAATGTGAATCCGAAGCAGACGTGTGACATGGCTTTGGATATGCCCAATGGTATGGCCTTCCGTGTGTCATCGATATTTCGCAGCCAATGCACCTGGGGAGAATGTGATTGAAATTCCGAGCGCACGCGCACGGTGCTGAAGCAAGCCAGCAGCCCGTGGCAAGATCGGCCTCCGATATTTTGATATCATCTTGATATCATTTCGAAAGGGGGGCAGCACTTGTGAGCTGAGCGCGGCCCGCCCGTTCTAGCTCTTCGTACGGGGCGGCGCAGGCCGAGCCCGATTTTTTTTATTGTTTCACCTGCACGTAAGGGATCAGAAACAGCCCTGGAACTAGTCAAGCCGGTGTTTCTGAACATTTCTTCTTCCTCACGTCTTCCACGTCCTGACAGAAGAAGGTGGGTGAGACAACCATGGTGGGCTCGAAACCGCAGCCAGGATGTTCTGGTTCGTTCGTCGCACACACCTCCTTTATTAGCCTGTGAGCCAGTCGCGACGAGGCAGCGACTTGCAGGCCACCGGGCGCCGTGCCGATCTGATATTGCAAATAAATCACACCGAGTTGAGCGAGGGCTGTGCCGAAAAACCCCGTGTTCTGTTCTCGTGCACCACGGGAACAGACGCTGATCCTATCGATTCCCAGATTGGTCCCGGCCGTTCCTCATTTGGTAGAGCATCGTAGTTTGGGAATGGGATTGCTCAAGGTCGGGTCATCCGTCATGTCGTGATGGGTGGCGTGGAATGAAAGCCAGTTGGGAGTTGGGGTCGTGGTGGCTGCGGACCCTGGCTCAATGTCGCCTGGATAAAACCACCCTTGCTGCACGAAACAAACGCATCTGTCTCCTCTCCTGCAGGCAAGCATGCGGCCAAGGGCCCGACAGAAACTGTGTTTTCCCCCCTTGCGTAGGTGGTAGAAAATAAACCAACTGAGGAGAAAGGGTACAAACAGCCACGAGTCGTTTGTTTCGATTTCGGCCCCCAAATCGTGTTGCGGCCGCAGCGATGGAGGCCCGCTAGGCCAATGCTTAAAAACTGCCGGAGTAGGGCCCAAGTTTAGCGGCTGTCTGGCCGGTCTCCAGTGGCCCCCCCAGCTTCCCCAGGCGGGTGCTTTAGCAGGTGCTAGCCGCTGAGGCCAATGGTGACCGCAGGCGGGGTGCGCGCTTCTTCTCGCCCCTTCTCGCTCGGGGTCGAAGTCAATCCAATGAGCACGCGGGAAAAGGTGATATTGAAGAGAATGGTGGCTTGGTTCCCAGTGTATTACACACACCCCATATGCCGGTTGGATATTGGCCTGGCTGCAGGCTCTTTTGTTTGGTCGCACTGCACCAACACGTTTCCTGGAAATAGATGACATGTGCAGCAGACCGCAAACACTTTTCTGTCTTTGGGTGGAGGTGTGTATACCAAGCCAGGGATTCTCTCTTTTTGCCTACCTTAGGGGGGGCTGTGCTTCTCTGATATCTATTCGTGGCAGGGTTTCCTGCATCTGTTGCGTCACTGTAGGGCTGGGGATTTGCGTTGGGAAGGGAGACAAAATAGATCCGGACCGTTCTGTCGTCTTCTTCCCCAGCAAACAAGCCGAGACCCTGCAAGTCATCCCTTGGGTTTGATCTGCAGTACAGACCTTGTTAGGCCCAAACCTGGAGGCTGACCAGATGATTGTTTTGCTTCGGTTGGCTGAGTCCCTGGTGCGCACATACACACAGACCGAAGCCCGGGCGGTGCGCAATGGCCCCTTCATCCGGTGTGTTATGTGGTGGAGGGGAGAAGGGAGGGGGCGTGTGTTTTGCGAAGTGTGATAGGTACGTGAGTTCTGGCACAGACGGTACCTTCAGCAGCAGTTCACGGTGTGTCTGAGACACGATACCCCAGGGAGCTGAGATTCTTGCACACACCCCCTTTTCTTTCCCACTGGTGTCACCTTCCAGCCGTGGAAGTCATACCTGCTCCCGGTTCCTCGTACAGTGCGACACTTTTTGGGAGGTGACCTTTGGAATCGACTGACGAGGCTGTCACTGTGACCATTAATTTGACCGTAGATTGCCATGCCAGCGTTATGTAGAAGAAGTCAGGCGACGAATGGGATACGGGCGTGGCTTCGACGACTCTGTCTGTGCAGCCAAGGTCTGCTGCCTTCTACCCAGCCGTGGCATTGAGGTATTGCTGGATGGACTTGTCATTCCGCTCACGGTCGAGGGAATTTCATGTATCTCATTGCCGAGCCACGGCTTCAAAAAGACCCCGAGTATTGTGAAGACATGAAGAGACGCCCCTGAAAGAAGAAAAATGGCGGCGGTTAGTCGTCGGGGCTGATCCAGACTCAAGTGGGAAGTGGCACTTACACAGGGGCAGGTGCTACTGTGGTCCAGGCCACGAGGCTGGGCTCATATGCGGCTCCCTGCGTGATCAATGTGCGACTCGAGGGCGGATTTGTTTGCTTTGCCAGCACGGGTAGCGAATTGGCGATGTGCACGAAGCGGGTTTCGGGGTCGCACATCCAACAGCCCGCCCCCCAAAAGAACATTCGTCTGATGTTTGCGTGTTTCCTGTGTCGCGGCAAGGCAATTTGGATACGGAAGGCCACCTGCCGGGTGTGACCCCCTCTCTCATCAATGTGTTGTTGCAGGGAAAGGACTTGGACGGCCGTTTTCGAGCTTCAAGGAACCCCGAATCTTGTTCATGCTTTGGACAAGCAGCAAGGGCAGGTCACGCTTGCTTGAGATGCTCTTTTTTCGCCATCTGCTACACATCTTCAGTAAGACCTGAACAGAATGGTGGATCCGACTGTGGTGGCCAAAGAGACGAGTGGAAAACAAAGGAAACGCATAATTTCGCATTGCCAGCCTGCCCTTGCCGCAGATCATAATTATTGGACAACCACAAGGATTGCAGATGCGACAAGGGCACAAGGAAAATGGCATTGCATTTCATGAAAATTTTTACATTTCCGTTCAATGGGTGACATTGGTGACGAACGGCTTGTGAGTGTTCCGGAAGGAGATGTAGTACATACGCCCTCGATGTCCGCCTCCGAAATTGAGAACCACCACGATGCACCAAACGGAACATACCTATAGACAACTTGTAAAGGCACACCTCCAATCGGACAAGAAGAAAGAAATGCAGGGATTGACTCAGAGCCTCATCCACAAGATGTCCCAAGAATGAAAGAGGCGACAGGAATGAGCAATTCTTCAACAAAACCCCCCGTCCCTCCCATGATCGGAATGCTGTCAGATAGGGCGGGCGCCCAAGGCATCCAATCTTCAGCTGGCCCTACTCTGCGTCCGTACTCCAAAAAACCAAACCAAAACATTCTCAGTCAATATTAAGACACACACACACAATCCAGCCACAGGGGAAAAAATAACTGTGCGCATTAAGAAACAGGGGTTGTTTCTCTTCACCCCCGAGTATCAAAGCTAGGGCTTGCGAGACCTGCGAAACGAAGGGAGCCAATCGCTTGCATTCCAGGATATGCAATTCTTCAACAGAGACCAAGACCAGACACGGGATGGGGGTCAAAGTCGTGCACGCATGCGTGTGCAGCAGCAGCAGCAGCAGCAGCAGGCCCCAAAAGAATGAAGTGCCCATTCTTTGACCAGTTTCTCTTCTCCTCCGCCCTGCATCGCTCCCCGATCTTGCATGCAGGAGCCGCAAGCCCGGAGGCTCCTGCACGACGCCCGCGTTCTGTTGCTCACGACTAGTCCCAAGCCCGCGTGGTCAAGAGGCAGTCTAAATTCTTGGGGAAGATGGTGAGCATCACCATTGGAGAATCCCGGCATCCCTTGGAGCGCCACTGGAATGCGAGCCCAAGCACGGAACTTTCCTTTTACTTTTTTGTTTTTGATGCCGCCCGCCATGCCTCGGAAAGCGAGGCTGGCTTGGTAAACAGTCACGATACTGCATTTTGGGCACATGTTGTTTTTCATAGTGATTTATTGCTATTCTCGTGCACTTCTGTACTGTATGACAGAAGGCATTCCAAAAAAAGATAGAAAGTGAGGGAATGGGTATATCCATCAACCTGTGATCGCACCGTCTTCCATGTCAAAAATGAAATGGCCGACCCCCTCTACAAAATATCAGGGCCGACAAAGACACTCCAAAAAAAAAAAAGCAGACTCGATACGCCCTGCGAAATTTCCTCCGAAGCAAAACTTGGTATCTGCGCACCTCCCGTAAGCATTACACGCGATGCCTCCTTCTCGAGGCAACCGCCATCATCGATCCATAAGTGCCGACGCAATCCTCCTCGCTCTCCGTGTCGGCATCGCACTCGGTCCCCTAATAATACTGGCGACCTTGCGAGTTAGCACTGAGCATCCCCATAGACAGGGCATGCAGTGTAACGAGTGTTGAAAATCCTGAATGAACAGCCATCCTCTTCTAAGTGATATCATCATCTTCCTCGCACCAACGGCCAGCACGCGAGGCATCTTTCTCGGGCCGCCGCCACCCATGGGTATTCTTGTAAAGACGTGAAGCAAACCACCCCCTCCATGCAACACAGGGTTGCCCCAGACATGTATTAATAAATGGGAAAAGAGCGAAACAACCTCCTTCCTGGGCGGAGCAGGCCTGCTCCTTGCGACTTCGTAAATGCTGCAATGAGAAGATCCGGCAGATGGGAACCATATCGTACAGCTTGGGCGCCGCCAAGTGATGTATGTGAAATAATAAAAAATGGAAAAAAACCGGCAAGTCCAACGGCAGGGAAAATCCTGGGGTCCAAAATGGGGAAGATACGGACTCCTTATTTGGTAGGCTTGGCCAGGATATCCTCACAATTGGCATCAAACCGGAGATTCCAAAGACGGACGGAGGCCATGAACCGCTCGGTCTTCTCGAGCTCACGCTCGCGGCCAAACAGGGTCTCGACAAACTCGACGCCGGAGTTCTTACCCAGGGTCTGAGTCTCCTTCTTCTTGCTGGCCCGGAGCATGGGCGCCTCGCACAGCTTAAGCAGCTTCCTAAGCTTATCGGTAAGCCGCTCGCCAGACTCGATAAAATCCTCAATCATCTCCTTGTTCTCCACGGTCCGAATCCTGGGAACACACTCCTCCGAGCGCTTGATCTTTCCGGCCAGCTGGATCAGAAGCAACCACAACTCGCCGGCCATGTCGGAGATGGGGGTCGCCGGTCCGTGGTGGTAGACCGTCCAGTCGTATATCCACTTGCCAAGCGAGTTGGCATCAAACACACTGCCGAGAAGCATAATGGGCTCTTCCGTAGGGTCCCAGTTCTTGAGCGAGTAGCCAGCGGGGATACGGTGCTTCCTGGCGTCCGCCTCGGTGGCCTTTTGTGGTGCTGGCGCGGGCTTCTTGTGATGGGAGCTGGATGGGCGAGCAGTGGCGGGCCTCTGAGGGACCGATGTCGAGCTCCGGCGGGTGTGATGTGACCGGCGCGGCTCCGGCTCATACCGAGGCGAGTTGTATCCAGGGTCCCTCTCATAGTATGTGGTGGCAGAATAGGCGCCCTGTTCGTAATAATGGTGGTTAGTGTCGTGCCCACCAAATTTGTCAGTGTAACAATATTCTCTATATCGCTTCGGCTTCGATTGCGCGTAGAGTATATAAGGTACACCGTCGATGATGTAGTACTCGTCCTCGTCGGAGTCCCCATAGGAATCAGAGGGCCGAATGTAGGAATATGAGTTGCGGCGCTCGCGCCTGGGGCGGCGAGGAAACCAGGATTGTTTGCGTGACGACCGCGATGAACTCACATTCGCTGTGGCGTACTGGCCATCGCTCGTGTACCGAGGCGAAAACGCAGGAGTGCGCGGGCTACTGAACTCGTTGTAGCCGCTGCTCATGTGGCGGAAGTGCGCCCGCGTCGCCGGTCGTTGTGGTGTTTGCGCATAGAACGATGGGCCTCGGGGCGAAGGCGTCGGCGATGGACTGACATATCGCTCCTTGTCGTAGTAGTAGTCCGCGGCGGGCGTGGAGCCGTAGGGCGAGAAGCTCGTCATCTTGCTCGAGGATCGTGCAACCTTGCAAACATTCGTGATATCGTTCCCTGCACTGGCCCCCCGGTCTCAACCACGGCCACTCCCCTCCTTTTTTATGTTGTTTTTTTGGTGTTGATCCGATGGCTCAATCGCGTCTGTGTCGTGACGCGCAGGGTAGTGAAAGTGACACCAGTCACCTTGGTCTGTGGTCGGTTGGAAGAGGGAAAGAAAGCCTTCTTCTTGCTGAGTACATGTCAAGGGTCTGGTCGTGATACTATTCCCTGTCGAGGAATCGGGCACCAAAGTCGACTGTTCTCGACTTTGATGGCAACTTCTGGTAGAAACTGGGACCAGCTAGGCTCCAGTTCGGCTGATGAAAAATGCTGAGGGGTCCAAAGACGTGATTTAAAAGCGTTGTTTCTTGAATCTGGGTATTGGCAAAAGCCAAATGTGGTGGGAAAAGGGAAAATAGGAAGGTTGGTGGTGTTTAAGTACTCCCCCCTCAGAAGAGTCCAACAGACAAGAGGGGACGGGACGCGCTAGGTGTGCTCCGTACCTCAGGTATTGGGCAGGCAAAGACAGGGAATGCGAATCACCTTAGTAGGGGGCTGGGTCCACTCCTGGCTCGGGAAGCTGATGGAGGGGAGTGGCGATAGTGCCGGTACCTCCAGGGGTCAAAATTAGTCACTGTCCTGCACGCCTGCACCTCTCCCGCTTCTCGAACAGGCGACGCCAAATAGCACCGCACTGTCTGCCCGTCTCGGGTTCGCACTGGACAGCGACGCAGAGACTAGACTGGTCCGGAGCCAGCCCAATCAGCAGTTACGGGCCAGCCTGTGAAAGCGACAATACAGGGAACTCGTCTGTGAGAGGCTGTCCTCGCTCGTAATCTCAGCTGTTGTGCGATAGAGCGCACAAGCCCGACAGCTGAGTCTTTCGAGTCCACGTTGAGCAAGGGGGTATCCGGCGATACGACCGAATGAGACACCCAAGGCAGCGGATGCTGTCGTTCTCCTTCTCCTCGGTGGCTTTGCTTGCTCGGAGTGATTCATACACCCTGGGCCGACCCAAATGAATCACTTCAAAAGCACTCCATTTCTGCGGATCTTTTGCGAATGTAATTGTCGAAAATACTTGTACGTGCAAAATTTGCAGCGCCAGAGGCCGATCCTTGCACGCCGATGGGCAACCTTTCAGGGTCGCTCACCCCCAGCAATTTACCAGCCTGATTTAGCGAGATTGATGTCGCTCCGGGTCCTGGTAGCTCAACGTCGCGGCAGACGGGATCTCTGTTCCAGGTCACACTAAGAAGCGACTAGGCCTCCGTGGAAAATTTTTCCAAGCCTCTCTTGGTGATTGTTGCTCGATGACGCCCGACAGGGTGCAAATCGTTGGGACTCGCAGTGGATTCCCATGTGTTTCCTCTCAGCTCATGGTCCGGCTGGGCGGGAGAGAACCAAGGGCTGGGTGGGACGCTGAAAAATCGACTGGCACGAACAACAGAGGAAGACGGCACTAGGTCTCTTGGACAAGGGCCCGAGATAATCTTGCTTTTCGCGAAGCGAGCGCGGCCCTGGAGAAACGGATTGAATTACCCGTCTCACGTATCCATGCGTTGGGCGCGGTTGAGTTCGACCGTTGATGAAAAATCAAACGCAACAAGGCCTTGGTTCAATGTTGGTTTGTCGTAAATGCGAGGGTGCTCAAGAGAGAGCCAAGCGAAATGCTCTGACCTCTCTCGGGTTGATGGTGCGAGTCCGGACCAGCAGTACTACTCGATCAGGGACAATTGGAGACGCAGTCGTTCAGTCGAATCGAATTCTAGCTCGAAGCAGAGACTGGAATCCCCAATGCCAGGAGAGGAGGTTGGGAGGATCAAAGTATGAATAGCAACCTTGAGTGAATCTCGATGACGCAACTGCGACCGTGGTTTTAGTCTGGTCGCTGGAAGGGGAGGAGGCGGGGGAGATCTCTAGATATGGCAAGAGTCTTGACCCGGTCCATCCTTTTCCAAGCCCAGAAAAAAAACGGGAGCATGATCAGCATCACTCAATCATGGTGGTGTGTATGGCGGCGAATCCGGCCCTTTGCGGCTTTTGACAGTTTGCTGGAATCGCCATCTCAGGTAATCGGCATTGGCCGCTGTGTCAGATGTCATCTTTTCCCTTGGTGTTGCTGAACTTTGCCCGTCATCAACGGCTGTACTTGATTCGACCCTCGCGAATGCGGGCGCGTAGCCCAGACAAAACACGATCTTACACACCCACACGTGCGTGCCATCGACATCAGGTGCATCACGACCAAGCCCATGATTGGGGAGAGCGAGCGCGGGCACACCACACGAACCATGTGAAAGGCTTGCCAAGTTTGCGGGCGGGCGTTCGAGAACAGATCGCCTGCGCACGACTCAACGGAACGGGATCTCCTCCCTTCCCTGTTCGCACCCGTCAGTGAGGAAGTTCACCCTTCGCGCATGCAGCTTGCGCTAGCTCCAGTGGGGTTGGACCTGTGATCGACCACCACACGTATCTCGGGAATCCGGGGGAGTCTCGAATGTCCGGGGAAGAGGGCTCATATTCAAAGGCGCATTAGAGCACTTCCCTCGACCAACTTGGCCTGCATGCCGGCACCGGGTCGTGATTCAGGCCTTTCGCTCGTACTGAAAAGGACGGGTTGAGTTTGTCCGACTTTACTACCCTTGGGCAAACCCAGTCCTCTCTTGTGATACCCTCAGAGTCTTCGATACGAGACCGTTACACCGACTGTTCGTGTATGCTGACATGGCCAGGTCGGTACTCTGACCAACGAACATTCTCATTCGACAAAGCAACGTTTCTATTCGATATTTAATAACGTTTGCAGCCGGTATTAAGCACAAGGTCCAACATCGATCTACATCCCAGCCACCTATTTTGCCCTGGACCACCAACACCTACCATAGGAGAAAGAATCTCTTGCGTGAACTCGGAATACTTTCGCCTTCCTGGGGCTCGGAGACCTCATTCCCAACCCAACAGATGACGTTTCGCAAGCTGAGTGCTCTCCTGTCGTCTTATGTCCGCCCCAGTTGATGACTGCTCTTGTCTCGCTCATCGAATCGCTGGATGAGGTCGAATCATTCAGAGCGGCGACCGAGCTAGCGTGCGACCACTAACACCCGCGTGCACACTAGGTAAAACCCGTGTTGCACCACAGTAGGGCCCGTCCGGGGAGGTTTAGCACACTTCACCCGTGGAACCGAACAAGTCTGCTGCAATTTCGCGGCGCTCTTCCACATGTCAAGCCACTGTAGTGAGAGAGGGTGCAGCAATGCGCATCATCCTTCTTCTCGCTCAGAGAAAGAAAGGCTCCATACAGTACGCGCTGCACCGTCGTGGAGACCGCAGGGCGCAGATTCCAGCTGCTGCTGCCAGTTCATCCACCAAAAGACTACATTGCACGATGACATCCACATCCGCACGGGACGTTCCTTTCCTACCTAGTGACCGGCCTGCCACCGTGAGGAGAGAGGGTGTGAGAGAAGGGAAAAAAAAGACTAAACTGAGATATCCACGAACCCACACACCACGGCGACGCACTACCCATGTTAGCCGGGCCTTCCTGGCGCCTTCGGTGGGGCCACCTTGGTGAGCTTGGCGTCCTGACGCTCTGGCGTTGCTTTTTTGCTTCCTGGATTTGCCAACCCCTCACCTGCCCCTGTCCTTGATTTTCCAAGCCACCCTCCCAAATTAAGCAAATTCTGGGTGTGCTCCTCCACGGGATATAACCCCTATTTGGCTGTCAGCGAGGATGGTGAAAATTTTTCCACATGTCCCTGCGAAAAGCAATCTCATACCGCTGACAAAACACCTTGGAAGGGACCGAAAAAGACCGCAAACTGACCAGGCCACCAACGTAACGGTGAACGGTGTTCTGTCTTGGAGTGACTCACACACGCACATACGAGAACACAGAGACAAGAAAAAAAGAGGGCGAACCATGCCATGGTGCCCTTCGTTCCAGTCCTTTGCTGCGTTGCGGTCCAATCTGAGTATTCCAAGACTGCTGCTTGTTGTGCTCTGGCCAATGGCGCACTTGTCAGGGAGCGACTTGCATGAAGGGCCGGATCCCGATTGGCTCGAGGCCGTATTTACAGCGGACATGACCAATGCACAGTGGCCCCTTGTCCATCAGCTAACACCCATGGGACGTCAAGCAAGCGAAGGGGAGCAAGGACGGCCTCCACCGCGGATAGGCATGTCTTGGTGGGTAAGGTTCAAGCCTGCATGTCCCCCTACCCAGTCATATCACCACAACAATGGCGATGGCTTCTTCTTTTGTCCGCAAATGGGTCTCTGCCGGCAAATATGGATCACCGTACAAGGCGCTGGTCTGTCGCTCCTCGGTGGGGACCGAATGTCCATCTTCTAAAAACACGACCTCACCGACAGTTTCACGCCCGCTGAGCGACCGCAGTCTGCATATCCAACATGCAAGACTGGGGCCCCTAAGGCGGCTTGGGTGATGCGCGGCAGCGCAGGATTGGCTCCCGGTGCCAGCTCGAGGATTCCTGACGTAGCAAGCTGCCCACAAAAGATTTATTTTTTACCTTTTCAAAATCCGCAACCGGACTCATTGTCCAGACAACTCGTTTGTTCGCCTGGTCGAGATCCATCTGTTCGTGAGTCTGCGTTGTTGTTGGTCAGGGGGGTACCGATAACAATGTGAGCTGCGCCGGATGAACTACATCCTCGGCCCTGCTTCGATATGCCCCGACGACGATGAGCAGGAGTCGCAAGGCCGTCGACGGTGTGGGTGTTCACCTAGCGTCAGCACGAGGTTAAACGAGGCGACATACTATCGGCACTGTTCATGTCCTGGGAGGGCAACTATTCTTCAGCAAGATATCCAACAGCGATGCATTGTTTGTTGGTTGTTACAGTCTCCGATACCACTCTGCCAGTACGCGACGTCTGGGTCCGGGACTCGACTGCCAGCTCGATCTGATAGGCCTCGAGCAGTGACTTCTCTTCGCTCAATTATTCGCGCTTGCACAACGGCATGGCCGCAGCACGAATGGAAGCAGTGCCACGGGCCAGGTAAGGAGTGAGAGTCATCTATGAATGAGAAGGCCGGGTTGGGTATCAACGTTGTCTTTGGCCCAAGCCAACATCGTCGCTTGACGCTACTGCTTGACAGGCCGGATTTGCGCAAGCGCTTCTCTCGTCCGGCACAGCTTGTCTCATGATCTTTTACTCAGAAACATCCCACGATGGAAGAGAAAATATTTGTCTGAAAAGGCAAGAGCAGAAACAAGAGCCAAGCATGCATGTCCTGACCCAAGAGTCGACCGGAGGAGTGCCGAATACGCACAAGTGTGTAGCTAGGTATTCCTTGTATTGACAGGCATGGCGAGCATGGCATGGGCGTCGCGTGTGCATCTGCCTCCCTGTCAGCAGCTAGTTAGGACCCGTGGACGTAGGCCCAGCCCACACGAGAGAGAGGCCACTGCATGACTAATAAGGTGAAATCCTCCTACTGCAGTGGTGGACCACCGCCTCTATCCCGAATTCAGCTTAGGTGGTCCGGGCGCGTAGACAACGTCATCGGACCCGGGCCTCTGGTTCTGTGGCTGGTAGTGCTGAGCGTGGAAAAATTCCAGTGGAGTTAGAAGGTTTTCCAGTTAGCTTCTGGCCCTGGGGTCCCCTGTGCCTGGGCCTTGTGCTGCAGTCAATGCTGCATGCTTAACGACTATGCCTTCTGGAACACCGCCACCTTTCCGCGCCCATGCAGCACTCTCCAGGTCTTCCATTCGCCCGCACTGGGCAGCAAAACCAAAAATTCGGACCAGACACGACCATACCTTTCTCCCAACTTCCACTTGCTGCCCAATACTGACAAATCCGCCCCCAGCACTGCAAAACGAACGACCGAATGGAATGCAAATAACAAAACCCAGAACACTTCGATTCTACGTCATTTTCCCTACTGCCAGTGACACATAAACGAGTCGGAGGAGGCCTCGAACCTGCTGTGCACCGCCGATCGCCAAGACCGCGCAGGGCTGAGGCAACCTTTTCCCTGCTGTTCCGCGTGCTGCCACCACACTCTGCTCGACTTACACCCAACCTTCTCGTAAGCCTCAGTCCGTCGGTGACATATCTTCAAAGTACACCATGTACGCCTTCGGGTTCGCATATCTTCCTTCGGCGTCAAGACCTGCTCTCGAGCCTTGTATACGAGCACAGTGCGAGGGTCCCAACGTGCTTGATTCGCCGTTGACCTTTCCCGCGTTTCATCTACCATTCTCGTGACTCACCCTTTTCCCTCTTGGTTAGGGGCGTGTGTGCGTGTGCGTGCACGTAGAGTGAAAAATATCATCGCCAGCCTCGACTGTGTTCCACCACCGTCCACAAACCACGCTCGCCGCCAACGGCTCCTTCGGCAGTGCACACCTCGGCTCAGTATGATTCGTTCCCGATGAACGCATTTCATATTTTCGCCACCGTCCAACCCGTTTTGGCCTGCCAGGTACGGGCATGTGACGACGACTGATCTCCTCGTGGTATCCGTTTGAGTGGTTCAGAATGTCCCCTTTGCCCAACCTCTCACGTCGCCTCATTTTTGCACTCTAGCGTGAGCAATGCCAGGCAGCCAAATGCTACTGCCTATCCTGTTTGATATGTCTTTCATCTGAGAAATTCCCATATTCAGCTTAAGGTGGTGCATTTTTTTCCTCTCGACTTTTCGGGAACCAATCATATATCCGAAGCCGCTTTCGGGGAAGTTGACTGGCCCCTTTTTATCGCCGATATTGTGCACATGTACCCCGGACAAGCATCACTCGCTCGCTCGCTTGTGAGCCCCGAGTCGAGATAGAGAACCGCCCGGCTGCCTCCTGTCACTCTCTCCTGGCTTGAATATGACCATGCGCGTCTTTCGATGCCTGTACTGCGACACGTACTCCCTTGCTGTCCACTGGCCACCCTCGGTGACCACTTTATGATGGCCTGGATTTTGAGTCATCCGTGTAAGACTCATGATGATCAGAGCCAATGATGAGTAGAGGTTTGCCTGAGATGTTGCTTGTTGATATGCAGACACCCTAGGGAGGTACCCTCGATCAGATGCTTGATTCACGTCATGATATGGAACTGATGAAGCTCCTCTGGGGGTATCCCACTGCCAAAGACCAATTGTTTCGATGGGTAGTCGAGGACTTCTGTTACCAACCCGTCGACTAACCTGACCTTCACTGAAGAAGGGGGCCGAAGCGTTCTCCGCTACGACCAGAAGTCATCGTCCTAGACACCTCCGCCGGGCCCCTGATCCTGACCTGTGGCGTCACGCGCCTCCTCGGACCTCCTCTCGCGCTGGCGAACTACCTCCGCCGGGTTGACCCCAAGCCCCTGCGCCGTGCCGACCGAGAACAACCTCGGTATCTAAGCTTGGGGAGGGTCATCTGCCTCTCTTTGTCTTTCTTCAGATCGTCCCTCTGTTCAACCATCATGTCGAGACGCCTAGTGAGCTCTTTGCAAGGGGACGAGAGAGTGGCATCAAGGCACCTCTACCCAAAAGCAAGAATGACAGCAGTGTATTTGCCTGCCAGCCAGTGAGCAAAGAGGAATGTCGTTAGACATGTTTATCTATCTAATTAGTTGATTACTCTTATCGATATACCACAGTTAAAGAGAGACAACGAATACAATACCGATGTTCCAGAGATACTTAATAAATAGTGATAAGGACACCATTATTATCGTGGATTGATCAACCACTCATGCACGACAGCTGCTGACCGTCTCCGATATAGGTCCGAGGCCTGGAATCAGTCCCGGACTTTTTGACCTCTCGACCATGGTTCAGCTGCACTTAGTCTCCTACCCCGTGGCCGGTGTGTCAACTCTTCCGGACGTCTGCACGCGCAAGTTTGCGAGGCCGGATGCGCGAGATATTCAACACCAAATTGTCGCAATGGACGGTCCCTCGGCGAGGGGCAATCCGACCTGCAAGCCCTGATAATGCTCGAGGCCACTGCCGAGACGTCGTTTCGAATGCGTATAAAATGGCTTGTCCTCGCCCTGCTTTCTCGAGCCCAATCCCTCACACTCATCTACATCAAGAATCTCGAGCCCATTCTCCACAAGACTCTCGAGCCCATTCTCCGTCAAGACTCTCGAGCCCATTCTCCATCAAGACTCTCGAGCCTATTCTCCATCGAAAACCCCAACACACGACACACGCACGCGTACACAAGGTCGGCATTGTCTTGGCATTGTCTGGGGCATTGTGTGCGCGTGCGGGCGTCGTGTGTTGGGGTTCTTTGATGGAGAATAGGCTCGAGAGTCTTGATGGAGAATGGGCTCGAGAGTCTTGGCGGAGAATGGGCTCGAGAATCTTGGCGGAGAATGGGCTTCGTCAGGAATGGAGCCGAGGACTCCAAGAGTGGCGTTCCCGGGCTTGGGGTAGCCAGGATGGCTCCCCACACTCCCGGACACAGCAGCATCCCCAGTGTATCTGAGAGTACTTGGTCCTTATGAGGCTTGATGGGCTGTCCTTGCCATTTGGATGTTGGTCAGGCCAGCCCCGTCGGCCGGATATTCACAGAGAAGCCACGGGCTTCGCCTTGTGGGCTGGGACGTTAGTGAGATTCATCGCTTTGGGCTGGGTATTCAGGGGTGGAATAGCAAATGTGGACATTTCAAGTGTGGGCCTGAGGCAAGCGGTTGGTGGTGATGGCAAGGAGTAAACGTATTCTGGATAGTGCCACTGTTGGCAAGGTGGAGGAGGTCTGATGGATGCATGGCTTGATGTAGAGAAGACTCTGGAGAAGAGGACTACAGGTACATGAATACATGGGAAAAGAAGGTATGAATCTGTTTATACAGTGCTCTATTGCAAACTGATGTGGCATATGTAGGAGGTCGGGATCGAGAGAGATAGAGAAAATATGCAGAAACTGCGACGGTTGTGGAGAGAGCAGAAGTAAGGCGAAGAGGAAGGTTCGTCAAGTGAAGAGCACTTGCGGTATGGAAGGGATGTCCACCATATCATACACGCCTCGTAACAACTTTCCCACGCCAGATCGAAGATGCTGTAGGTAACGTATGTTCGTGCGGTGTCGATGAGGAGCAGGAGTGCGAGACAAGTGTCGTTAATTATGTAACGCATGCAGGCTTGTTCGTCTCTTTGCGGGGACACTCTCAGGGTGTTTATCTGTCGGGAGCGTGATAGTGTACCGGTCAATGAAAGGATCGTTGATGTGCTCGGAGTAATCGGCCTTGCCTCAGGTGGGGTGTCAAAGAAGGTGCAATCAATCCCTTGACAAAGCTGTGCTCATCGCTGACTGACGAATGAAATTAGGCATGAACCAGGTCAAATGCTATCCCTGACCACTCACCGAGAATCAGGCAGGTTGTATCCATATCTGTAGTTGCCACAAAGGTCCTGAACTTGGACGGTAGTGCGGTGAAGCTTGTGCAGCAGCTCTAGGGAGAGACATGATCTGGCCAGCGGGTGGCTTCTTGCCAGCAGGTCCCTTCTCAACGGAATCCGCGGCAGGATGAGTCTGATCATTCCGCTGAGGAGCGGGCTTGGTAGCTGCTACAGCAACACTGAAAGGCTGCGTCGAGCCTGACTTGTCGGTAGAAAACACAGTAGAAGGGAGGCCTTTCTCAAATTTTCCGAGTCCTTGTACCCAGGGAGTACCGGATCACCGTTCAAGGCCAGAGCCTCAGTCGGTGCCAAGGCCGCGCGATTGGCTGATTTGCAGGAGGGGAAACGGGCCTGAGACAGCGAGACGAGGACAACCTGGCGCGCTTGGCCGCCTTCTCGGCGTGCGACTTCCGAGACTTCTCATTTTCCCTCTTTCTGCAGTAGGCGCAGATTTTCAGGGGCCTCCGGACCTAGGTCATCGACAAAGATGGAGAACTCGGGTCCTCGATCGTCGCTGGAAAGAATAGTGGTCAGCTACGAACAGAGGACAGCGTTGTCTATGGTGACTCACCGACGGTCAATTAGACCGCCTCCAGACGCCCAGTTCAGTTTGAACGCGCGAGAGGATTTCGGGACAGAGTTTCCGTTCAAGGCCCGGGCCTGGTTCGCGGCGGCAGGCTCGCCGAACTCCATGAAGGGCCAGCAGTTGCCCTGCGTTTCTTTATGAATCTGGCGTTCCTTGTGTCAGTGTACCGGGCCAAAGACAGTGGACTAGGTCATGTGGCATCAATGGCCGTGTGAAGACAGGAATGAGGACTTACTGTGATAGATATATAAGTTGTGAGTTTGTGATCAGTATATATAATGCATCGTTGATGCCAGGTTGACACGTCGGATGCTGCCGCGGATGGTAGTCAGTCTCTGCTTGTGGTTCGCGTGAAGGCTTGATGCAAGAAAGGAAAGAGACAACAACAGAGGCGGTCTTTACCTTTGAGGTTTGAAAGTCGGGGGATGGGATTGCGAGGGCGTTGTGAAATGAAAAGTTGAGAGGAACGAGAAAGGGAAAGAAGAAAGGCAGGTTGGCGAGGGCAGGGGGAAGGAGGTCTTTATATAGGCTGAGGATTGAAGTCCAGGGCTGTAACCTAGCGCGTTAAGAAAAAGTGAATTGTAAACAAAAGGCAAAAGCGACGTGGAAGTGATTTGAATCCGACGTGGAAAGTGACACGAGACTGGCGTGAGCTCGGGACACCAAGAAACCCCGAAATAGGGGAGTGGATGTCAACAAAACGAAACTCTCGATTTCCTTATTCAGACCAACTTTAAATCGCTTGACTTGCTTCAATGGGGCAGCAGTTTGGCAGCTGGCAGCAGTGCACTGGCAGGACCCAAGACTCTCGTCATTGACATGTCTCTTCACTTGTATTCACACAATCGTACCCTTGCCATTTTAGACAATGCTCATCCCTTTATTCAGCGAAATTTCATCTCAATGATAGCTGCAGGACATTCCCGCCTGCACGTTTTGGAATTAAATAGCTTGATTATGGATCTAGTCATCCGACATCTTAATACATGTAGCAGTCACGATCACATGGAGACTTGAAACACAGCTTTTTCGGCCGAAAGCTTGCCGGCCTTGCTCAGCTCAAACGCTTCCAATACACTCTCCAGAGTGCCCATCTCCTTGACACGATTCGGAACGATGTCGCCCTTCTGCAACATGGCAGGGAGCCAGGACAGATACGTCTCCCAGGCCTTCTTGTGCTCTGGGGTTGGACCTCCGATATTGTCAAACGCTTTGATGAAGTCGATCGGTTCCCCGAAACATGCCCCGGCAAAGATCGACTCGGCCTTGATGTGAGGGTTGATGGCACATATAGCGTCTTTGTCGAGCGGGTTCAGGGCGACTAGGTGAGCGCCATCACTGGGCGACAAGATCTCGGCGATGCTCTCCGCAGACCCTCCCTGCCCGATGCAGTCAAAGGCATATCGGAGGCCGCCCTGAGTGGCCTCCTTGACCCTGGCCACCCAGTCCTCGTCCCGGTAGTCGACAGTGATATCCGCCCCCAGCTCCTTGAGCAGCCCATGGTTCTTGGCAGATGCCACCGCGATGACGCGCTGCCCGCTGAGCCTGCCCAGCTGCACCGCATACAGCCCGACGCTCGAGGATGCGCCATAGACCAGCAAGGACTGCTGGCCGCCGCCGCCGCCCTGATAGGGCTCCGGAAGGCCGAGAGTAAAGTATAGGGCCAGGGTGGCGGTCGCATAGCCCAGCGAGACTGTGGACGCCTGCGCCATGGTGATGTTGTCGGGGACGGGGAAGAGGAGTGAGGGCTCGAGCGTGACGTATTCGGCAAATGCTCCCCGCTGAGTGTCGCCCTCGTTGGTTCCAAACGTCCAGCCGCCCACCCGCTGACCCCGAGGCCACCCCGGTCCTTGGACGACGGTGCCGGCGAAGTCGAAGCCGACGACGAGGCCCTCTGGAGCGCCGTCAGAGGCGACATTGCCCTCCACGAGCTTCCAGTCGCCTGGGTTCAGGGCGGCATTGTGGACCTTGATCAGGACCTGGCCGGGACGAGGCCTCGGGCGGTCGACGTCACGGACGGAGCCTGACTTTTTGCCATCAGTCACGAAGGCTCGCATAGTTGTCATGGCGGCGGGGCTCTTGGGCATGGAAATTTTCACTAGAGGGGGGGATAGGATATTTGCAAGCTCAGACAGACGGCGGGATATGGCCGGATACCACAAACACCCAGGTGGTCACCATGATGTATTTTATAGGCTCGTCACTCAAGCAAGTTGTCGGCCGACTTTGGACCTTCCAAGATCAAACGGATGATGCTTTGTCATTCCAGCAATGAAAAATGTCTCCGAGATTTAAACTTTGGCGAGTCACTGAGAGGAAAGGCTGCGAGGATTAAAGAAAGTCCTCTATGATTTCCTGTTTGGCTGGTGTTATCCCCGCGGGTTAGGTAATGGCAAGTGGGAGAGGCCGGTGGGATGTGTGGAGATGCATCGTCGATGCTGGGGAACGGCTCGCAGACCCCGTGACAAGGTGCAAACAGACTCTTAGAATGCAGACACAGAAGAAGGCTAGAGTCCTTTCGCCATACGTTACGTGCATATATAACTCCTCCTCTTGACTAGCAAGCACATCTTGATGAAACATCATACCTATGTCGACCAATCAAAGAGCTTGATGGATTTGTGAGTAGCTGGACCAGAATATTTCCTACTTCTTACTCAGGAGATCGGCATGTTCAACACTGGATGCGAAAGCAGGCACCGCATTTGGTGTGACTTTGGCTCGTTTAGGATGCATCTCTCGGTGCCTCAGTACGACTCACCACAACATACGCAACAGGCTACTCCTTTTCCCGGCCAGGATCATAGAGACTAGCTACTTTTCTGGCACGGCACAGCACCACAATTTGATCCTCCTGGCGGCTTCTTCCGTCTCACCTTTGTGATCGGAGAAATGTGAGACGATACATAACTCAGAGCTAGCAGGCCTGGCTTTGATCTTCACACCGCGCCTTTTCCAAGCCCCCGCGAGCAGTTGAGGGAGAGTGACTGGGTACCGCGGGTTCAGGGGAAACGAGCCGCGCCCGGTGCCAGGGCTATTCTCACGAGATTGGGGAGACGCACCCCTGGGCTCGGAAATTTGTGCTCCCCAACGACCTTGGTCGGCGAGGACCACGCACACCACGTAATCAAACTGGCCCGAGAGGATGGGACGGCGGTCCACTGTTTGTGGATTCTGGCTCTGGATGATCCTGGATGCTAACTAAGGCGGAGGCTTTCCCACTGGCGCATTCCAGTCCCTCGGGTCGGGGTTTGATTGCACCATTGCTCACTGATGGATGTCACACCCAGACGGGCGGGACGAAGGAGCCAAAGGGCTGGCGAGGCGAGGGCGAGGACATTGACAGTCAATAACAATCTTTGGAGATGGTATCTGGAATTACACGGGCGGGGGGTGTGAGAGGCTTTACCAGGAGAGAGGAGCTTGTAGAGAAGCGCCATGCTTTCTTCCATCATGTGTTCCCTGGGCAATGAAGCAGTCTGAAACGAACCGCACCAAACCTCACCGTGACTGGACCTAACGCGAACTGGAAACCCAAATGGCGAGCTCTCCTCAATGGCGACGGCAGTGCTACAAGTATCAAAGGTGAATCACGATCTATTGAAGGTCGAAACGAGGCAGTTTGTGGGCTAGCGACAAGTCCATCGCGCTTGTGCAGCTTCTGGAGACCCTGTAATTTTAGTCATGTCCCCCCACCAAGCGCACCCTAAAAAAAGAAGCGTGGAAATGGCCTGCATGGATGTTCACCGTTGATCGCGAAATGCGACAAATGACTGAATGCCGCAGTCTCACCTCGGTCCACCGCAGAAGGCGACTGGCCATGATGACATGTTGTGTGCCCATTTGGAGGATTGCACACGTCCTTTGCTCTGCTTCCGTGAACAATTTTTGCTTCGTGGTCATAGAAGCCGAGGTAGCGCAGTGATATGACAGCATCTTAAGCAATGTCCTTTTGGCAGGATGCTGCCTGTAGGGCCCATCGCCATCTCCGAGGACCACGTCCCCGGCTCCTGCGCGCAGCCAGGAAGCTGACCTCTTTGTGGGACATTACGAGACAAGGGAAGGGAGGGTGAGCATGGGACGAGTGGCGCCGTCGGACGAGTTACCAGCTGGAGGGAGACGAGCCCGCCATGACATGGGGGCCGACCCGAGCCATTGGTTTCGAGGAGCAAGGGGAAACGAAACAAAGAAGAAGAAGAATAAGCTATGTAGGCACATACTTGGGCACTGACGTTTAGTGTTATTGTCTGCAGCCATCATCATTGGACGCCATGGAAAACAAAGAGGACCTCGCAAAAGAAACGCGGGCGGCGCTCGCAAAAGAAACGCGGGCGGCGCGTGAGATGGGCCAGGGCTTTCTTTGACACCGACAGATGACATCGAGTACCAAAGCTGCATGGCCCAGCCAGCTCAGAGCATATTGCTTTTTCGTCTCTCCCCTTTCCCAGGATCTCGCCGACGTGGGCCCTCGGCAATCTCGTTCAACACGACAAATCCAACGGCCACGACGCCATGCATCTTGTGCTCGTAATCTGAGCATCCCTTGACTGCAGAAACGGCATCACACCGAGGATGGAATGCCTAGTCACCCTTTCCTGGTCGAGGTAGGTATCCGTAGCTTGCCCATTTCTCACCCCACTCGAGCTCATCTCACCTTATCTCTCACCTGAAGCCCCTTTCCAAGCCAGGTGCCCTCTCCGGTGGGGAATGGGCCTGCGGCGCGGGCTCGCGGTTCCAGCGCTTCTGATTAAAAGGCCCACCGGCAGGACGTTTGACCTCGTTTCAAAGGCCACGATACATGCCAGCCGCACGCGCCGGTGCCAGACCGGCGGAAAGGACTCGGTGGCCAGAGCGGATGTGGCGCCACTCGTCTTGCTTGTCTGTCTTTGTTTTTCGGCTGGCCTTCCCCGCCTGGTTGCTACTTTTAGCTAGTGCTGTCCAAGTGGTTCCGCTGCCTGCAGATCTAACTAGGTATTCTTCCAACAAGTGCCTGATATTTACACGTACCTAGGTAGGTTGGTAGCTAGCATCAAACAGTGACGATGCTTTGGAACGGACCGCGGCACGATGGTAAGCAGAGCAGCTCGCACCAGAATCGCAGACCCTACCCTGTTCATGAGCCTCGGTATATGTGGTGTCTTTAGTGCAAGGTTGTAAACGAAACGAACAGAAACGAAACGGAGCCGGTGCCAAATCCGGAGGATTTCGCCATGGCCTCTTTTTGGCAGGAAAAGCAAGAAAGGAATCAGTAAGAACCCACTCCTCCATCCAGCCTGTCGGTAAAATCTACATCATCATCCTGACCAGGGGTCCCCTCCCTCCCCGAACGAAGAAGACACACCATCCACAATTTCCCATGCCAACGCTCCATCCCAGACGAAGCACAAACCCTGCTGCATGTACATGCAGAAAGAGGAGCCCATTCTTTTTCTCACGCACACACACACACACACACACACCTGCTGTGCCCACGATGTCATCCCGTTTCTAGCCTGTCGTGCGAGAAGAAAAGGACGAGGGGGACAGCGCATCGCCAAATCTTCGCGCCGCCTCTTCCCGCAGATCCTGGCCTTCCCGGGCATGCACACCCGGAATCCACTGCTACCTTTAACAGCCAGTGTTAAGACACTAGATTTCTCAGCATCGGATCATCGTCGTCACCTCCGTCATTCTGGTACCATCACATGCGGGCGAAGAGAGAAGGGGAGGTCTCGGCTGTACACACCTACATATCCTGCTCCACCGTCCTCCTCTCCTCCTTCTAGGCTCAATTCCTCCCACTGGCCAGAACGTGCAGATTAAAAGATCCCATTGTTTTGGGTCCCTCCCGCGTCCCGTGCCAGGTTGTTTCCCTCCTCTCTCCCGACCTGTCGGGTTTTGGCGTCTACTCCCTCTCTGCCGGGTCCTCTGGTTATCGTTTCGGATTTTCTTTTCTCTTCTGTATGACATTGGATATCCCAGCGGCCGATACGATTGCTTCCGCCTCGTTTCCCTAATGGATAATATTCTCACGCTCGTTGCTAAACTATACTACTGTCCATCACTTTACCACACCGACTGTCGTTCGTCTTCCACCCTTATTCCCCCACGTGGTGTTGGCCTGGCATCCGTTGTCAACCGTTCCGGAGAAAAAAAATAGAGTTTACAACGGCGGCCGCCGCTACAACAGCACGACCAAGAACACCTCAGGTAGTTAAAACGACCAGACGATAGGAACAAGATAGCCCGGTACGCTGCCCGGAGCCTCGACACCAGCACACCAGCACGAAAGACTGTCCAGCACACAACACCGATGCCTTGGCCACGAAGCATCACATAACACCACCGCCCTCGCAACACACCTCTCTCCTCGAACTCCCACACGCCCTGCACACACAACTATACTATGGGCTCCCCCGCCCCCGACGACGACCCGGCATCCCCGGGCCCCTCCCGCCGCGCCCAGTCCTCGGCCCCGAGCAGCGCCGTCCTCCCAGCATCCTTCTCCATCGACGAGGCCTCCCTCTACGCCACCGCCCGGAGCAGCCTCTCCCCGCCGCGGCCCGCCTTCGGCGGCGGCGGCGGCGGCGGCGCTCCGTCCTCGGGCGCCAGCACGCACATCAGCGTGAACCCTCCCGGGTCCGGCGGCGGCAGCGGCAGCGGCACGGGTGCGTCAGGCGAGCCGGGAGGCAGCGGCGGCGGCGTGCGCCTGTCGGATCTCTTCGACGAGGGCGGCGCGGCGGCGCACTACCCGGCCTCCATGTCGAGCTCGGTGCGGCAGCACGTGTACGAGGGCGGGCTGCGGTACCACGCCTACCACGACGGCAAGTACGCCTTCCCCAACGACGAGGTCGAGCAGAACCGCGACGACATGAAGCACGCCATGACGCTGATGCTCATGGGCGGCGAGCACTGCTACGCGCCCGTCGAGGAGACGCTGCGGGATGGCGGGGAGGTTCTGGATCTCGGTACGTCTTTTTGTGAGAGGGGTTTTCTTTTTCTTTTTCCTGTGTGGTGTGTGGTGCCTGGAGTGGGTTGCACGAGAAGGGGACGAGATGTGCCCTACCGTCGTTGCTGTCTGGTTTGCCTTCAATATCTCCTTTGTCGTATTAGGGCTTGATCAATATGCTTCTTGCCATCTACCTGCTCTCTGGAGACGAGAAATTGTTGTTAGTATGCAAGATTTGTTGACTGACGCGCGCGTGTTGCACCGCTAGGCACGGGAACGGGTATCTGGGTTATTGAGAGTAAGTGGCCAGCCCCTTGACCGTCCTATCGGTATCGTTTCGGCCTGTTATAGTATGGCAGCTCACCGCTAGAACGGGGCTTCTGGAGATACAATGCGGGCTGTGGTGAGACCTACGCTCGCGGATTGAGCTGCTGTTGTGTTCAAGTGACACCGGGACTGCCCAGCACAACAGGGGAGGCAGGGCAAGTGCCATTCCTGTCTCTACCATCCCCTCTCTCTTGTCAAACCAGAGATTACCCCCTTCTCTCCGTACTCCCTAAGCAACCTTCCCAAGATCCGACCTTCTAACATCTGCCTCAATCCACAGTGGCCGACAAATACCCCAACGCCGTCTTCCGCGGCGTCGACCTCTCCCCGATCCAGCCCAACTACGTGCCGGACAACGTCTACTTTGTCGTCGACGACTTCGAGGACGACTGGGTCCACCCGGACAGCTCGATCGACTACATCCACGTCCGGCACACGCTGCACTCGGTCCGCGACCGCCGCGCCCTGCTGCAGCGCTGCATGCGCCACCTCCGGCCGGGCGGCTACGTCGAGTTCCAGGAGCTCCGGTACGAGCCGCGGTGCGACGACGCCTCCGCGGGCCCGGACGTGCCCTACGCCTTCCGCGACTTCATGGGCTTCATGGACGCCGGCCTGCGCGCCCTCGGCAGCGAGCTCAACGCCGTCGCGCGCCTGCCCGCCGACCTCCGCGCCGCCGGGTTCGAGGGCGTGCGCGAGCGCACGCACAAGTGCCCCATCGGCGTGTGGCCGCGCGACAAGCGGCTGCGGTACTGCGGCCTCTTCCTGCGCACCGCCATCATGGACGGCCTGCGCGGGCTCGTCCGGCGGCCGCTCGGCACCGGGCTCGGCTGGACGCAGCTCCAGATCGAGGTGTTTCTCGTCGACGTGCGCAAGGCGGTCATGGACGCCGACTTTCACGCGTACTTTCCGTTTCACGTCGTGCATGCGCGGAAGCCGTTGAGTTGAATGGGGAAGGGGGAAGGGAAAAGAAAAGAAAGGAAAAGGAAGATGGAGGGCCGGATATGCTGAGACTATGTATGCACCGATAAGAGATTGGCTATACGAGGGCGCCTGCCGAAGACGAAGCGGTATGGTTTTTCGTCTCCGACTGGACTGGATAGTCTATGTCGGCTCTGCTTTACTCTCACGCCATCAACGCTGAGCTGGTCTCTGGTCATCGAGTCTGGTTCGGGCTCTTCTATGAACAATGAGCAGGATGACGCGGCATCCGACACGACTCCCGAATCTACGGCCTCAACCATGTATCGTACGAGCTACGATCACCCACCTGACCGACCTCCGGACGACGCCGTGGTGCCCGAGGTGTTACCGCGCAGCTCCAACTTTAGACACAGCTCTCGGTCACACCAAAAGGGGGCAGCATGTCCAACTGTTACTTGATCAGTCGTACGGCTGGGATCCTCTTGTTGGGAACGAGAGTGTTGAGGAGATGAAGAAAGATGTACGTGTAATGACTGTACGACAAACACTAGATTTACGAGTACTGTAATGATAATTTGTAGTTTCATGAGAGGATGCTTGGCTCTCAAGATGCCTAGTGATCATGCTCTGTCTATGCAACGTTAGCTTGAACTCGGGCCAACCTCCATCAGGTGCAAGCCGAGAGAGACACTCTTATCTAGATACGGTGGAGGAAGCACGATAAACACAATACTGATAATGCTCTGTATATCGACGCGAGGCCCTCTTCATGCTTCGTCTGGCTGTGGCCCTCGCTGCGAGATGGAAGGTTGCCCTTGTCCCAAGCCTGGAAGGATGCTCTCTGTCTCTTGTCCATTTCATCCGCACCATCATCTACCTTCAATGGCCTGGAACCCCTTCAAACCTACATACATACCTAGTAGTACAGTCGCCTCAGAGCTAGCCCTGGCCTCGAAAGCTTACCAAAGCACCAGCAGTAGACCAAACAGCCCAACCAATTAGCCTGAAGCTTCCTCCTCCCCGCACTCGCACTGATCGACACCCAACTCCGACCAACCACCGTCACATCTCTCTCTCTCTATCTCTTTCGTAAGGGGAGATAAAAGCCAATCGAGTCTACTCCCAGGCCTCCAAAAGAAGCTATCGCGTCCTGATTGCGTGCTCTTCATGCAGACCCCGGGGCCCCCTGATCATCTTGGCAGCAGGCCAGCAAAACGACGTAATGAACCCACAGCTTGGACAGCTTGGACAGATGCATGCATGCTAAGAACCGCGCGGGCTGGGGCTTCATTAGGTTCGAGCTGGCACCTGCCGAGATCGGAGGGTGGAGCCCCCCCCTGAGCTCGAGCAGAGCAGCCCGTGGCTCGGACAGGCAGGTCACGCGGCAAAGGCAGGACAGCCCCGCTCTGGTCCGCTCTGGCACCACCACTTCGCAAGGGGGGCATCTCCAGGGGCCGCCATAGCACGACAGATGCTGCTGCCATGTTCCCATGAAGAACAGATGGAAATATAGGTCCAGTATCAATCGTAAATGAGGGCGATGAATGCGTCTGCCGAGTGTCTCGTAGCCAAAAAATCGTTGCCCATCAATCGTCCGTCACAGTTTTCTGTCCTATGACTGACGACATCCGACCGGCCGCCGGGAGGAGCTGAAACACCGAGATGAGGGGTAAGGAATGAGAAGGTTTGTCATCGTCCGCGCACATCGCATCGCATCCATCGCACCGTCCTCGTCGCATTCCTGCAAGATGCCGTTGGAAACTCAATTGTCGTTCCAATCGACTGACCTGCTGCCCTGCTCCGTGTCAATTTTGCCCTGCATTCGATGTTCCATGTCAGCAAGTGGTCGGGGCGCCCGTCGACGGGATCCAGGCCCAGATTGGCGTGGGCTGATTCAACCCTGCCCGTCATACCATCGTCGCCATCTCACGCCAGGTAGGTAGGAAGTACTCTGTAGAAACACACAAACATCAAATCAACAACAACACACAAATCGTATCGTACATCACGCATGAAGAGAAGAAGAGAGCTCGCCGTTTTGCAATAAACGTCTCGAGAGGTGTGGACATAATGGGTTTTTGTTCAATTGTCTCGCAACTACCAAAAAGCCCAGTCCAGTTTCGCAACAAGTGGAGGGGTCGTTTGCTGACGCCGTGGCGTGCCATGCCTGCGGCCGGCCATGGCGCTGTCCGGGGGGGGGCCGAGGATTCACTACTCGTCACCACCCTTGTTCTTCTTCTTACTGCTCTTGGTCTGCGAGACGCCGCTGTCCCTCTGCAGGTGGACGATGAGCCGGGTCCATGACTCCTCCTTGTCCCACTCGAAGCCCGCGAGGTAGGGTTGGTCGAGCTCGTCATCTGCCTGTAGCGATGCGAGATGCCCGTGTTAGTCAATTGAATCCCCGATGGTGTTAGTGTGTGTGTGGGGGGGCAAATGCCAGAAGCGCTTACCCTCTTCTTGAATGCCTTGTGGATCGCGTCCATCGCATCCTTGATCGTGACGCCCTTGAGGTTCCTTGCCGTTACCTCGAGGCCGAGCGGGAAGTGCAGGTCAATCTTCTTGACCGGTGGTGTGGTGAGCATCTTCTTGAGGATCTCCCTCTCCTCTACCGTCGAGGGTGACGTGTTGATCTTCCTAACGGGCGGGGCAGGCAGTGTTAGTGGTGGACCGTTCGGGCTAGGCCAAGGGGGGTGGTGCCAACGGTGGTGCGGAGTGGGAGATAGCATGCCCATGCAAAGGCGATTGATTGCAATGGCTCAATCAACAGAGGAAAGCAAACAAAACAACTTACCATCCCGTCTTTTGCGTCTCTTTCGCGATTTGGAGCTCAACTCCCTCCTTTTCTGTAGTTCGGAGTTGCGTTAGATAACGGCCGGGTGATCCGGAGACCGGAGAGCCAGGGGAAGCCATGACGTACCTAGGTCATTGATGTTCCGGACACCTTCCGCGCTGGAGCTCTGCCTCCTATGGCCGATCTTTCCCTTGGGCGGAGAGGATGAGAGACCTTGCACGGCAGAGTCGACCTTGGTGAGTGGCTCAGACATGATGGATTGTGTATGTGTGTGTGTGGGAGAAGTGTTTGCTGGTTGGCAACAGAGCAAGAGAGTAGTTATAAGCTGAACCTGGATGGGATCCGGAGAGCTTGAAAGTGATATATGATCGTGGTGTTCGTTGGGAACAAATTGGTTGGGCTGGGTGGGAGTGATGTGTGATGAGGATGGAGGAAAGGATGGGAGGGAAAGGAGGGGGAGACGAGAGTTTATAAAGAACAGGAGGGGAAGGCCTGAGGATGATGGAACGTGAAAGGGGGCAGCAACGCAGGGCTGATCAAGGAGGGGAAGCAAGGCAGGCAGGCACGCAGGCACGGGAAAGGTAGCTCTGGTCGCTTTGGGGCTGGGAAGAGGAAGAGGAGGGTAGAGGAGGGGTTGCGTTGCTTTGGTTTCGCCAGGCGGCCCTTGTTGGATGGCGCGAGAGCTTGGCCGCGCACCGGATGCACATCCATCCAAAAGGTGGGAAATCAAACGAATGAGGGAGGTGATCGGCCCATCTGGGGGGGATTGCACTACCATTTGGCCAGATCTGTTCGTCACTGACTCACCAGGGGGCGCGGCGCGTTCCTGGCCGTTTCCCATTTGCGAAAAGCTACATGTCAATTCCCCTTTGGACTGGGCGTCTGCTGCTTCCCATGCCTGGCATTGCTACGGTGCCTGTTTTACGTATTCACCTCAGGTGAGAGCGGGGTAGCATCGCCCTCAACAAATGGACGGAAATGAATGGGATGGGAATGGGAGCCGGATGGGATGGGAAGATCACTTGACGGTCGCTCCCCTCAAGGTGTCGCAACTGAATCGCGTGACCTCACTCACCTCATGACAATCAGCCGACCAAGGACCCAGGGCCAATCTGCTGCTAAGGCCAGACCCTGCCCGCCCACTCTGCGCGCTAACAGGGCACCTGAGGAGCCTGAGGAGCCACTTCCCACGTACCCGCCTGCACTCTGACGCAGCCAAAAGCTACCTGGAGCCCGTGCATCAGCGCTAGGCCGCCTGGTTCGCGCCCGATCAGGCCTGGCGCAGTCCTGCGAAAACCACTGGAATCCGGGGAAATCTGGGGAAGTGGGCTTTGCTGTTAGGGATTCGCTGCCAAACTTGCTGCAGGCCTTATCATTATCAGTGGATCAGGGAGCTGCATGCGTGCATGAGCTTTGCTGTGTTTTGCTCAAGCTGAAGAAAGAAGCCTTTCATCGATACTGGCCCGTCTCGCTGTGATATTCAATGTTGCCTCTTTGCCAATGCATGAGTGAAAAGAAGACATTGCTACCTAGCTCGACAAATGCTGGACTGTACGATCTTTGATACACAGATACAGCAGATACTAGATAGTTCGTCACCCTTGCAGTTCTTCAGGGAATCCCACTTTGAGTTCCGTATTATTCGTCGATATTGAAAGTGATGAACTGCAGAGCGAGCAACCATGCTTCATTATCACAAGGACCCGGGCAGCTCAAAGACAAGTAGGCAATGCTTTTGAAAATTCAAGTAGTCTCTGAGTTTCCAAAGATTTGAAGGATTCCAGAGATCTCCGGAAACATCACAAGAAGTGAGATTGTGGGTGACTGCTTCAATCCCAGCATGAACATCACCACCCACGGCTATCCTTGCTACGGCCCGAACCCCCATCTCCATCGAATGCTTATGCCAACAGTTGGATCGGACTTTGCGTGTTCTTGTGCAAATTGACTCCACTTTAGTTCTGAAGGATTATGTCAAAATGTGGCATAGAAGGCATTCGGCTCCACTACGACGGTTTGAGCAGGAGCCCGTAATTAAAACTTCGAATCCTACGGAGTAAGCTTCTAAAATCTCACCCAACTCCTGGATGCAATCAAATGGAGAAGAGCCAGCTAGGATCATCACGAAATACCGACTCTCCACGGATCCCTTACGCAACTTTGACAGGACTGAGGAAAGGGCGAGACAGAGATACTGGTCCTCATCCGAGATGGTGAATGCCCTGGTACCACAGCATGAAGGCATGCTGCCTTCTGTTCTACTCGCTGTATGTCTGGCACCTGAGTGTTTCAAGGAATGCCCCTTGTCTAGCATGGCCTAGTACTACAGCTCTGACGACCATTCTGACTAGATGAGCACCATGGCCATCATCCACGCCATCGTCGGATATCTCGGCGACCCGGTCGGCGCGTGCCGGCAGTGGAGCGGCGTAGACAGGGCGCAGAAGACACGCCTGCTGGCGCACGTGTACAGCGTCAAGAATGTGTACACGGGTCTCATCCGCGCCTTTGCCGCCTACCACATCACCAACCCGGAGCTCTACAGCCTGGCGCAGGCGACTTTCGTCGGCGTGCTGTTTCTCTACGGCACCGAGCTCTTCATCTGGAAGACGACGGGGCCCAAGGAGTGTCTAATCCCTTTTGTACAGAGCGCCGGCGTTCTTCTGTGGATGTACATCCAGAGGGATTACTATCTTGCTGGAGTCTAACAGGCTGCGGGACGAAATGGTACTTGGGGAACTACTCTCAAACAGCTGATGGTATCGGGGAAGCAGAGTGTTCCCTTTGGTCGGATAAGGAGGGGCAAGATGTTGTGGTGCGAGGAGAGAGCTTTTGGAGCAGTGGAATTCTCAAAGATTCTTAATCTGTGTTTAGGTTTAGGTTGACTGCTTTAGATGGATGACTTTTGTATCCTGATGAGTTGATGCTGAGCTAGTCAACCAATTTGCAAGCTAGAAAGGCGAAAGCGGGATTGCTAATCCGTCTTCGGCATTACGTCGTGCATCCCCGCAAACCCGATTCACCCAAAAAGCTACCTTCGGCATCCTCTCAACAGTACTGCTACTCTAACGACTGCTCGATGACGCGGGGTCTAGTATCAATCAATGCTAATTCCAGAATCAGAGGTTCTCTCATAAACAGTCGGCCAGATCATCATGCCTCCGGAAGAGGCCACCGAGCGTGTCAGCCCAGGCAAGCCGTTTCCAATCATCACATACAACCTACCCTATGAGAAAGCGTGTGCACGACACATCAAGGCTAGCCTAAAACGCTCGAGACCGTTCATCATCATCTCTCGCTCCCTCAGCCGTGAGACCGATGCTGTCGAGCGACTGTCAAATGCTTTGAGTCAGAATGGTGGCCAGGTGGCTGGTGTCCACAAAGGAATGCAACCGCATACTCTCTTCTCCGAGGTTCTTCAGATAAGCCAAGAAGTCAAAGACTCGGGAGCCGACTCCATCATCACTGTTGGAGGAGGTAGTTTGGTCGACGGCGCCAAGACAATTGTCTTTGTAAGCTATTGATCTCCGTTACGAGCCGAGATACTGACAGGGCCACAGGCCATTGCCAACGACGTAGACACTCACGAGAAACTGGACTCACTGCTCAAGACCGCTGAGCCAAGGGGAGACCAGCCCCCGGGTGCTACCGAGCTCAAGCCTTCTACAATGCCGATCATGTCCGTCACCACCACCCTCTCCGCAGGCGAGCACAACCCGCACGGCGGCGCGACCAACGACCGCACCAAGTTCAAGTACCTTTTCGAAGACCCCGTCGGCATCGGGCCTCGGGTCATTGTGCTCGATCCCCGGCTCACCGTCACTGCCCCGGAGCGGGTGTGGCTCTCCACGGGCATGCGAGCGGTCGACCACTGCGTCGAGTCGGTCTGCTCCTCGAAGCCGCACCCGGAGGGCACCAAAGCCGCGCTGAAAGGACTGTGCCTTCTGATCCCGGCTCTTCTGCGGTCAAAGGAGGACCCGAAGGATCTCGAGGCCAGGCTGAATGCTCAGCGCGGGACCGCAGAGAGCATGAAGCCGTATGTGTATTATGATGTACCGCTTGGTAGGTTTCTGTTGATCATATCCGTTGGGAGCTACGACTAACCGCATGATCAGGGGGGTCGCATGGCATTGGGCACCAGTTGGGGCCGTACGGTGTTCCTCACGCAGGCAAGTGGTGCTTGAAATTTTACCCGCCAGCTCGCTAACCCGAAGAAAGAGACTACATGCGTTTGTCTACCTGCAGTGCAGAAATACAATGCAAAGACCAATGGCGCACAACAGCAGATAATTCTAGATGCTCTTTGGAGCGACCCGGTTGTTGCTAGAGTCTTTGAGCAGCATGGTCTGGTGAAGGGCAAGGCCGATCTAGGAGACGCGCTGGATACCGTGATTCGAGCCTTGGGCCTGCCGCGGAAACTGAACGAGTATAACATTGCTCCAAAAGATCTCGACGCCATTGCAGAAAACAGCCGGAAGGATGCTTGTTGCAAAAAGAATCCGATACCGTTGGTTGAGAAAGACCAAGTTTTGGAGATTTTGAGATCTTGTCTCGATTGAAAGCGAGGCTTTTTTTTTCTTTTTTTCTTTCTCTTTCTTCGTCTCCTAAATTGATGGTATACTAGACTTCCATGTCGTACTTGGGGCTGTGGGTGCCAATAAACGGCCTCGACAAGCATTGAGGTTCTGTGCCTTCACTTGGTGCCTTTGGTGACTCAGCAATTGGCCCATCCCCGTGTCCATAATGAAGCCACACCTTCCAGGATTCCTGTCAGCTGTTGGGATGACTGGAATCATCTGGCACTACGGACATGGCGTTATGCAAGTTTCCCATGAGCATATGATTGGCTGACTGTGCCTGCCTATAATAAGCTCAATGATGGGCTCTGCACGGGAAATAGCATCGATTACATGCTATTATGGAAAGGAGCGTCAGACTTATGTAAGTGAGAACAAACGATCACTCTTGCCAGCACGGCCATTGTATTTAGGAGCTCTGCATACCGAAGTGCATTGTTGTAGGACAACCTCACGGGAACAAGCATCGGATTAGCCCAAGAGGTCCTGATGCAGGGAGAGATGTATGCTAAATGCGCTTTGCCTGTGTGTAGCCACCCTTTCTGATTAGCGTTGACTCAGCGTACGCGTTCTCTGCATGCACCTCTCCCGATGCATGAGCTCTGTCTTTCGGCCAGTCTCTCCCATGGAGACCCTTCTCAGGAGTTGTGCAGCTGTCTTCTAGTACTTTTGTATGAAGCTCGAGGTTTTCGGACAATGGCATCGGGCCTTCGTTATCTGACCAGAGTCCGCGGGCCAAAGTTCCGGAAATTTTGGCCACATGGAGGCTGGAGGTCCGGAGCTGCGGCGATACTATCTTGGACATGCCGTGAGACAGGTGGCTGAGGCTCGGGTCCGTCCACATGCCGTCGCCCAGCCACGGCCAGCAGCCTCAGGACCATCCCATGCATTTCGCCGAATCTGAGACTGCAGCTGCAGCGACTTTCTCGAGCAGTATATGGGTTAGTACCACAGCGGTGGGCTGTACCGTACATGAGGCAGCAGTTCTTGTGTGATCCTCAGGCAGGCAGGCACCGCCAGTCCCGGCCTTTGAGGTAGAAGAGCAGACCTGATTCCCACATATGTGCCGTAACCGTTTCTGCACCATTTCCCCATTTGAAATTCAACTCTTCCAACGACAGACATTCCTTTCATTTCACTTTTTCTATCACCTGTTATTAATAGTTGACCGATCTGCTTTTAGAAGGCGTTGCTGCTGTGTTCTCGTTCGACAGTTTCGCTCGATCGGGATCCATTTCGTGATTCTTTGTTCTTCTCAACTCTCTCAAGTGATTGAGTATGGATTCCCCTCAACCTAACACGGTGGACAAACTCGACTTTAATCCTGGCCTCCACATTCTTGCCGACCCCGGAAAAGCGAAGATCGAGTAAGTCCTACTACGATCGAATGTCTTGAAACTCTTCTGACGTAGCATCGCACGACTAGTATCGTCGCCCTACCCTACACGGCCTAAACTTCGCAAATAAGCGTGATCATGCACGCAGCACATGGACCAAAGATGGCACGTTATGGCTTCGGGACCTTCTGCCCGAGCGTCTGCCCGTGGCGGCGCGCGTGATGCTCTTCGAATACAACTCGAGCCCTGCCATCGGAGCGGCTGCCATCAACATCGATGACCACGCGAGCAACCTGCTCCACCACCTGTCCATGAGGCGGAAGGGTGCCTCCCGGAGGCCCATCGTCTTTGTCTCACACAGCCTGGGAGGTCTCGTGGTAAAGCAAGCCCTTGTGCTAGCGATGTTGAACCCGAGTTATAAGCGGATTCTCAAATCTACAACTCTCTTGGCCTTCTTCGGTACGCCCCATCGGGGTGGAAACTTTGCCAACGTGGGAAACACCGCCGCCAGCATCGTTCGCAAGCTTATCGGGAATCCGCGGAACGACCTGGTCAAGGGCCTCAAGAAGCACTTGGACATGGCGACGGAGCGGTGTGAGGAGTTCCGGCACCTGAGCGACAGGTTCACCATCCTCAGCTTCTGGGAGACACACCCGTACGGACGGCTCGGCCTCATCGTGGACAAGGAGTCGGCGACCATGGGACTGCCTCAGGAGGTGCAGCTGGCTGTCAACGGAGATCACAGCTCCATCTGCAAATTTGCCAGCGCCCACGACATCGACTGCGAGGTTGTCTTGGCTACCATCGCGAGCAACATTGTCGACGCCTTGATGATCCAGGAGGCTTCGCGTAGCGTTAGGCGATACATGCCCCCAGCCATGAGGCGCCTATTCGTAAGGCGCCTCAAGGTACCCAAAACGGTACAAAAGGCTACGGCAACGTCTTTTGAAACAAAGACTACCATGGCTGAGCGTCTGAAAGTCGAGGAACTTGTCCATCAGAATGAGAGCGAGATACGACCGCGACTCTCCGACGTGTCTCGCATGTCCAGACTATCGCTCGCCCCCAGCCGTCATTCCTTAATCAAGGACAGTAGGAATGCGAGGGACTCTTCTGAAACCCTCAGGGCTGTCCCGCATGTCGTAGACAAGGGACACCAGGTTGAGGAGAGACCAGTGAGACAGCCGAGTAGAGGTTCAATCCCACTGGTTGAGAAAAGCGAGAAGCAACAGGGGAAGGTGTCTTGTGAGGGTGTCAACAAGATTTCCGATAAAGGGGTATGCACATCTGAGCCGGCGGAAGGACAGCTTGAAACTAAGTGGGCATCAGGATGGATCTCGCAAATCTTTTCGATGGACAACCGTACAGCTTCGGCGCATTGATTTTGTTACTATTTTTCAAGCTTTAATGTCTAATTCAAGATCCATATCAAATCCTAAAGGATATCGCTGTATTTATTCGCGCATGTACACATTTTAATAACACGAGTTTACAGCTTATGCTGACATCGTCCCACATATGCTGAAAATTGTATTCAGACCTACAGTCCTAATAATCCAGCCGCTTCCACCGAGGCATCTACCTGATCGTAGCCCGTCATTTCAACTATGATCTCGGCGTAAAGACTAGTTTTAGATCAGGGAGTGCAATTGTAAATGTATCCCGCTGTCCCTCGACAAATTTGCGCGGAGCCTGGTCCTTTGCGAAAGACAGGTTGTACTTGTGGATCAGATGTGCTGTAACATATCGGATCTCGATCAATCCCAGCTGTTTGCCGATGCACGAGTATCGACCCATGGAGAACGGCACGAACACACTGGCGTCCTTGGTCATCTCTTTCTTCGTCGTCCACCGCTCGGGAATGAAGTCGTCTGGCTGCTCGAAGCATCTTTCATCTGCGTTGCACGATATTCTCGTTAGCTGCTGGTGTCTGCCACGGCCAGCGTTGGAGCGACTGGCAATAGGTGCCTGTACTCACCTCTGAACATGGTGTAGCTTGGGATCTGGACAATAGTGTTGCCTGGCACGAACGTGTCACCAATCTGCAGGCCCTCGGGACCGGTCATCCTCTGAACGCCTGACGGCACGGGAGGATGGAGACGGAGAGCCTCGTTGATCACTGCGTTGAGGTGCTCCAGTTGTGCCAGAGCCCGCATGTCATTTTCCTGCCCCTCTTGTCCGCTAAAAAGAGGGTCAACCTCCGTCTGCAGTTGTTTCACGCACTCAGGGTGAGCGGCAAGTTCGTAGAACAAGCAGGAGAGCGTGGCCGCTGTGGTATCACTGCCACAAAGGTAAGCATAAGTACATCCAGATCTCCGAAAAGAGGCCATATCTGCCTTACCTTCCTGCGACGGCAATCACGAAAGCATCGCCGATCAAGTTGAGGTCATCTTGCTTGGTGGGCTTCGCCAGGCTGTTGTAGCTCTCGAGAATCCAAGAAAATACATCCGGGCGGTCGGGAATGTTCTGTCCATATCAGCCGAATTCCTGATCTTTTTCGGCCCATGTGTTCTTACCCTTTTTCTTTCTTCCACCTGATCCAAGACCCAGTACCAGAACTTCTTGTCCTCGGCATTCAGGACGGGGGTCTTTTTGAAGATCGGGAAGAGCCACAACAGATGACTGAAGAGGCCAACGCCAATCATGAATCCGTGCAGTGCCGTCATAAAATAATGCTTGATACCGTCGCGCAGCATGTGGAAGGACTTGCCAAAGGCCAGATCACCCATAACGTCAAAGCTGTAGAAGTTGAACCAGTCGGTGACGTTGATCGGCTGCCCCTCCATCTTTGCGATCTGCTTGAACAAGTCTTCGGCATGGTTGATGACTCTGGGCTCGTAGTCCCGCAGTGCTGGTGCAACAGATCAACATTTTGGCCTCTCAATCTCGTTATCGTCGGCGGAACTTACCCTTGGAACTGAAGCCCCGGTCCCAGACCTGTCGGCGCTTGCGGTGCTCTGCTTTGTCACGGATCATCTGGATTGGTACCATTGGGTGGTGCACGTTGTACCAAGGCCCCTTGACGCAAGTTGTAGAGTTTCCGTGGATAAGCGAGACGGCCTTGGGATCATTGATGGACAACTCCGACGGACCTAGAAGACACCGGCATTAGGCTTGTGACGAATTGAAGGGACGGCCATCGTCTCCATAACGTACCGATTCTCACATAGTCGCCGTACTGTCTATGGAGAGCTTGTACCTCTTTGTGTAGCAGGAGCTTTTTCATCGAGATCCCCGCGATGTAAAAGTTGGAGAACCGCGCCAAGAATGGCCCGGGAAAGCGGCAGAGTCGGTGGAAAAAGCCCCTGTACACGAGCATGCTCGACCATATACCCGTGATCACGAGCCCGAGAAGGCGGGCCACGATCCCTGCTGTTTCTAAAACCGAGGGATACACGTCTGGGAAGGCATATACGAGGAGAGCAGTGGCTGCAACTTGGATGTAGACGGTGCCCAAGATGAGTCGCATGGTGGCAAGGTCCCATTCCCCAATCCGAAAGACAAACAAGTGCAATGATATGCCAACAACGAAGGCTGCCTGTGAAGCGGCCGTGCCCCGAAGGCTGGCCATGGCGCCTTGGAGGGCTGGGTCAGACAAAGCAGGGAGAGACGGAGGCATTGTGGGTGTGGGTTTTGGGATAGGGGACCGCAAAGCTCTGGTCCTCCTCAATCAGCACTTCCGAGATATTGTATTAGCAGGTCTTATTTATATCATATAGCAACCACTTCATCCCCACACCAAAAAGCTGGGGGATGCGGAGAGGCATGTCGTGTCAATCGCTTTGAATCATAAGTCTGTTGATTGGCCTCAAGGTCCACCAAGTTGAAATGTCAGAGTATCTGACTCGAGCAACACAACCCGTCTTAGTGCACCACTTTGTGGGCCCGCAAGACTGGGACAATGACTGCAGAATATGGTACTCACCCACCAGTGACTCTATCAGATTCCTGCACATACGTGGTTGCATGTTGGACCGGTCAGCTGAACATCTGAAGGGGGTCAACAAGGGACTCGAAAGAATGGCTATGTGCTGACTCGTGGGCAAGAAAGGGGTTAAGTCAACTCTCCGGAGCGGCCCTTGTGAGTCTCCAATACACGCGGCGGCCATCCCCACAGAGCTCTACCAGTAAGTACTCTCCATGTGACCCCTCACCAGGGTGGTGCTGCATTGACTCTGTGGACAAAGAAGTGAATTTCTCCAGATCTTGAGAAGCTCTGAGATCAATAGCATGTTAGGGCCTGCGAGGAACGAGGAATTGCCTTTTATGTTTGAATCTACAAAACTACTTCTTCAAAAACAAGGTCTGTGTGTTACAGTAGCTCTTCAGTCCATCTGTTCCCCATTCAGATCCAAGTCCACTCTGTTTATGTCCACCAAACGTTGCATCAGGTCGAAGCTCAAGGTGTGTGTTCACCCAGACGCTACCAGCTTGCAGCTGCCTCGCGATTGTGGAAGCCCTTTTCACATCCTCTGACCACACTGATGCACCTAGACCCATGGTCGGTTGTTTGCCCGTCGAATAACCTCGTCATCGGTATCCCATCTGAGCAAGGGCAGGATGGGAGCTGTTCATAGATTAGCATGGATCTGAGCAAGGGGAACTCGAGAGGCTCGTCTTTACCAAAGGGTTCGTCCACAACTACGTGGCTTGTGTCTGGGGGATTATCGACGACGACGGGCCTGACGAAGTATCCCTTGCCTATATCTGCTGCCGGTGCGAGAGATCCCTGACCCGTGGCGACCTTGAGCCCAGCTCGCTCAATCTCCTGCAGAAAAGCCTTGACTCGGTTATACTGCAAGCTGTTCTGTATGGGCCCGAGGCCGACGCCCTCTTGCTTGCCGTCACCAACAAGATAGTGCTTGAGGCAAGCCACAATCTGGTTAAGGAACTCGCTGTAGATAGAGGAGTGCACGTAGACTCGCTTGATGGCCACGCAGATCTTGGAGCACTATTAGTCTATCGTTCGAGGCTGTCAGGGTCGCCTACATACCTGGCCCGAATTCAAGAAAGCAAGCTGCGTAATCTTAAGACATGGCGTTAAATTCAAGAACTCGCTTTGGGTACCGGCCAGCAAATACCTTCTGTGCCGCATCTTGGACATCGACATCCTCGCAGACGATAGCTGGATCGTTACCGCCCCTTGTGGTCCAGGTTAGTATGCGCCTCCCTGGTTTTAGGGGGCACTTAGACGGGCTCACTCACAATTCAAGGGTTACACGCTTCAGCGTTTTGCTGCAACTTTCCATCACGCGCTTTCCTGTAGCCGTGGAGCCTGTGAAGCTGATTTTGTCAATGCCAGGGTGCCCTGTGATCCACGGACCCAAGTTGTCGTCTCCACTGAGAACTTGAAAGACACCCGGTGGGAAGAAGCGCTGCGCCAGTTCACCCAACTTGAGCCCACAGTACGGAGTGAACGGCCTGGAGGAAGCGATATTAACTCGACGCGACTGTCAACATGGATCCTGGCTGGAATGAGCAGAGACTTACGAAGGCTTCATGATGAGGGCGTTGCCCGTGATGAGAGCTGGAGCGATCTTTCCACATGCTAAGCGCGGGGTCAGTCAAAAGGTCTTGCATGGGCATCTGAGTTACTCACCTAGCATAAGAGGAACTGTGCGCAACACAATCAGTAGCGAGTTCGGACACCGAGTTCCTTGTGAGGTGCGAAGATCTTACAGTTCCATGGTACGATGGCGGCCGCCACTCCTAGATATTGATGAGTACTGATGCTAAGGGTGTAGAGACAAGACCAAGGGCGCTTACCAAGAGGTGAATATCGGGTCACGATGACACGATCATCGGTATCCTCCACTACTTCCTCGGGGAAAGACAGACCCGCTTGCGTACGCAACCAATGTGCTCCGTTGGCGACCTCACCTTGAGCTACCGGAAGCTACTTTCGATTAGTTTTGCTAGCATTTCATGTGGTGCTGATCTCATCATACCGGTTTGCCGTTTTCCTGCACGAGCATGTCTGCAAATGAGCTTTTCAGGGCTTCAAGAGCATCGGCAAAACTGATGACGGCTTTCTGGCGCTCCTCCAGCGGTGTCTCCGCCCACCCCGGTGCTGCATTTCTAGCTGCGGTAACGGCAGCATTGAGGTCCTCTTCAGTCGACAATGGAACATCGGGGAGTGTCTCCAGGGTCGACGGATTGACACCGTGGATTGATTTAGCGGTGGTGACCAGTTTGCCATTGACAGTGTTGTAGAACTTCTCGAAGCTAATTGAGTGCCCGGCACTCGTGCCGTTTGTGTCGATAGCCATGACTCTTGTTGAGGACAACTATTATTCTTCAAGGCTGGTATGGAGGCGATGTGTTGGTTCGTAACGAGTTGCTGATATCATGCGGATTAATTACAGCTGGTGTTGTTGATCCCTGCCCACTCCAAGTTTCGACCGAGTCGTCCTGGTCGACTCGGCCCTCCACACCCTTTAATAATGGTTAGCACCACTTTCTGACTACGAACATCCTGACTACAACCCATGGACCCCAAACGCATCAGCAAGAACTCATGTATACCATGTCCTGCAATCCAGTATTGGAGTGGAGAACCCCAGTTTTCGATAAATGTTATAACCCAGTCTCCGATCTAGCACAACAAGGCAAGACAACACAGGAGCGGCTTGAGTATGAATCTTGCTAAAAATGGGCTTTTCTACAGGCAGAGTTTCTGACACCGGTCTAAAACACATGGCTATTCTCGTACCCCAGAAGAACAGACGTTTTATGGCCTAGATCCTCCCCAAAAACTACGTTACATGGTCTTCATCCTCACCCTCCAGTGCGTTCTTTTGTTCACCTAGTGGTGGAAATCCCCATGGACCTGTCGAAGGCACAAGGGCTTTTGGGCTCACCAGTCGCCCGGGAGCGTTGGGGAAGGCGGGGATATCACTGTAGAGCTCTGGCCACTGGGCGAAGATGTCGTGGGTCATTGTCCAGGAATTGATGTCCCGCACGCGGCGCTCAAAGGCCTCGGAGAGGCTGAATTGTCCGGTCTCGATGTTGACAGCATATGCGTCGCGGAATTCAAACGGCCAAAGGAGTCGGAGACATGACGCGAAGAGATGCCAAAAGAGGTTGGCACAGTATCGGTGCTGGAAAAAGACGAACCGCTCGCGTAGCCCGGGCCTGGGGAAGGAGCATGTCAGGTTTACAGGAGAGACATCACCCCGGACGAGCTCACTTACCAGACGAAGAAATCGATGGCATATGAATGCGATATTGCTTGGGAGGGCCTGTCATTGGTCGGTTAGTTCACGCCACCGGACGGATGCTTGCAAAAGGCTCATACCTTTCTAGGTACCATGGCGGGACCAAGGCATGGCGGTCATCACTGGGGCTGTGGTGGTAAAGGAGGAGACTGTGCATAAGCCTCAGGATCGCCAATCTCTCAACCTTGCCGCAGGAGTAGAAGAGATTCTCATCAATCTGGCGCAATTTGCTCCACAACGGCGGAAGTCTGACAACACGAGCCTCCACCGCATCCCAGCCGTGGAGCACGGCTCGGACTGGGATATCCTGTTGCCAGTCGCGGTCGGGCTGAAATCCGTCTCTCTGTGGATGTACCGGAGGAGTGAGGACTGCGTTTGCTAACCGCCACAGGTTCCGATCGGGAGAACGATTGGGGAAGGCACTCGAAGGGTGGCAGCCACAGCCAGGTGTTGACATCGGCACAATAGGGTCGTCGCATGAGGGGATAGTTGGCATCATCTTATCGCGGTTCGTCTCAACGATGCCATCCAGAAACGGGTCGAGATCGCCGGGCGAGAAGGTAGGGATTGTAGGAACTAGACCACCCGACATATCCTCTCCCCCCTGCCCATACACGTGGGCTGATAGCGGTAGCGTGGAGCATGTGTCGTCAATAGGAAAGTCGAGATCGAAGGCATGCTGCAGATGAGTCTGGCTCGAGCCATTTTCACTGGGAGACGCCACTATCGTGTTCGATGTCTCGCGAGGAGGGGGCGCAAGCTCGACCGGTGGACCCTCGCGAGAGGCAAGATAGTCTCTGATCGAAGTCTCGAGCCGTTTCAACAGGGTAGTCACAGCGTCTCGCTCCTTGGTGACGGCTTGCAACGATTGGGTCAGCGAATGGACCTGGCCGGTTGTGTCTTTGTTCCTGAGCTCGTCAACGAGCTTCTCGAGATCGGCGATATGGTTCTTCGTTCTCTCCCGAGCAAGTCGTTGTGCTTTTCGGTCGAGCTCTCTCTTCTTCAGGCGGCGCGAGGTTACTCCTGACGTTTTCGCGGTCTGGTCGACATCACCGTTTTCTCTTGGCGACTCGTCGCTCCGACATGGCTGCTTTGTCTCCTTGGCCATGATCAATCTGGACAGTTTTACGTTGGGCAGAGCGTGACTGGACTGTTGGCACTGGGCAAGACTACATGACGGTGACGGAGATGTGGAAATGCCTCAGACCCTACAGAAAGGCAGATATTTTGTGCGCTCGACATGTGGAGAGGGATCATTCCGGGGATTCCTGGGGGTGGGGCGCTATCCCCAGATGCTAGGACCCGAGGCGCGTCACTTCCCACGAATCCCGCCACAGTTGAGCACTAATGTGACTAGCTGATCGACCGGCGAGCATTCTGACTCGGTGTTGTCGACTCAGACGCCATCGCGGAGGGCGCTAATGATTTCCCTGTCGTCCCTTGGTATAAGAATCATGGATCCCATTACATCATATTCAGAAGCATTCAGCTGTCCATCTTTGTCTGGGAACTTGATCATTGGGTTAAGCTCTGACGATTTTGGTGTCATTAGCAATGGCCGACAACCTGGTTACCGAATTGAGCGCACTGCCTTGTGGTTTTAGATTAATGGCAGAGCTTAATCGTCAGAGGGACTGCAATTGAAGCCTTCCAGCTTGGAAAGGTAACCCCTCTCGGGGTCCGGCCACACACACAGCGAAACGAGTGGTGAGGGAGGAGTGTCCACACTGCGTTATTGGGCGGAGCAGTAATTCTCATTTTGGTGCCGTCCAAGCAGCCGTCCAAGGCCCGGCCGTGTCATGGCCGCGTTCTGAAAGCATGCAACATGTTTCACTAGGCGACTCGCTGCCAAGACTCCAACGGCTCGCCAAAACTCATATGTGAACAAATGTGCAGAGAATTGACGCCCTTGTCTTACTGCTGATGCAGATCTGAGTTTCTTTCGTGCCTGGACGGGTCGCGAGTGCAAAAGCCGCACCTGTCTAACAAGCATCGCATCCTTCGCAGTGCCAAAACCGCACCGCCTAGCAGACGAGAGCTCTCCTCTACCCCAGCTGGTCCTGCCAGGAGGCCCCCCTCCCCTCCACCCCCCTCCTAGATAGTTTCTTCCCAGGCTTCACTACCGTCTTAACCGCCCTCCTTGCGCTTCTAGCTAGAGATCTGAACCTCTATGCTCGGCTGCTGTGCGTCTGTGGGGCGGCAGTGCTCTTCGGCAAGTACGGGTCGAAGTATTTCTCGCAAGTTGCGGAGTCTCATTTCATTTTGTGGCCGCACTCTTATTAAGGCTGATACTCCTCTGACCTAACACAGCTTTAACAGTGTACGTGCTTCTTTCTGATGAGGTGTATAACATACTCTTTTTGTGAGTGAGCTCGCTTCTTACTTGCTAATGTTGATCGCATTTCTTTGTAGTTATGGTGGTATGGGTCACAATAAAACGAACATCTTGATGAGGTTAATTATAACAAGACCAGGGTAATCAATGGAAACCGGCAAGACCAAGGAACAAGTGGATTTTTTTGACGATTGTCCTCAATCATAATCTAAAAGACATGCTTCTAAACAACGTCTTAGATTTTTTCCGGTTGAAACCACAGACTTAGTATATAAGTTGCAGCATCCCTTACCAGTAAGGCTATCTATTAAACAGTCTACCGAGAACTAGGAAATCTAGTGTGAACCTCTTTATCATAGACCAACTCGATTTAGAACTTTACATTCTCAATATTTCCAACATCAGTAATACCGACTCGACGACACTATTCACCAGCTTCTCCTGACACTGTCTCATGTTGTTAGAAGACATTAATGATGCAGTCTCAAAACAGCTAGAATACACTGATAAAAAGGCTAGAATTAGAAGCCCTTATGTACCTCTGAAGGATAAAACTAAGATAGCCCTTTCTACCTTATCTACCTTACTTAATATCTTTATTAGTATAATATTAGCAGATGATTAGGTGTTTATTATGACAAACAATTATATTATATATATTAAAGGCACAATTATACAGTCTGACTATATAGGTATAAAATTCAAGTTCCAGCTTCCTAATAAGAAGATGATAGCCCAGCTCTTCTGCTCTGTCTACTGAGAGAAAGACAGAGCGCTGGCAGCAACCCTAATCCAGTAAAGACCGTGAAAGACAACAAAACAGTCAGACAGTTGGCATAAAGCTTTGCTGCAAAGATGCCAAAGGAGGAATTCCGGCATTTAGCCCAGCCAAGATCATACCAATCCTCTTGACGAACAAGTAATCGCTCCAGCAAGCTCTCGGTGAAGGCAAGGCGTAGGTGCAGAAGACCAGAGAGGAGGAGAAGAAAGTGAAGAGAGCAGATTCATAGGTCTTCAAGAAATAAGGTTTCCGGGACCGTCAAGTTTGATGGCCGGGGCGAATGCACCTGTCCATTTTAACTAAATCACAGACACACCTTTATTCCTTTCTTTAGGCCTCGGTTTTCAGATTGCAGTTATGCACCCATGAGCTCAGAGACCCTTTAGTCTCTACTGCTACCAATACAGCATGCCTTGAGTCCCCAGACATACTCGTGCTTCGCCGGTGCTGAAGAGATAAGGGGGGGGGGGGGGGGGGGGGAA